AGCTGCAGCCATGCGATCTCCATTAATCGTGTCCGACGACATCGACCGCCGAGCCTTCATCTTGCCTCTCGCCTTTTCTGACGCAGCTGTTATAGTCCCGGTACTTGTTGTTGGGTTATTCTCCGAAGGTGAAGACGTAAGCGGGCGGGTCTCGGTTTGTTCATGCCCACCCAGGCCAGCTTCAAGGTCCCTACCAGAAAACGAAGTAGACTCAATATCCAAAGCAATGGTGAAGGCAGGGTCGCTCTCGTTCTTGAGAAGGCGTAATTTCTCCTGATGTGCACTCTCCACAGACGCGCGCTCCTGCTGTGGGCCATCCTTTCGGTCGCGTTCTACCTTGCTTGCTTGCTCTTCCTTGATCCGCTGTACACGCTGGATCTCTCGAAGTCCGCGGGCAAGAGTGAATGTCCCTAGTTCTTCGAAAGTTTTTTGTGCGGTGATGACTGCATACAGAAGATTGGGGTTATCGGAAAGGTGATGGAATATTACTGAGTTGAAGACCTCGAGCCTTGTGAACAAGTAAGCGTCGTGCGACTCCCATACAACAATTACTCACATAAAAAATAGAAGCCTTGGGTGGCTCTCGTCGGATAAAAGGAATAGAGGGTTCGAGAATGAAGTGAAGAGCTGAAGCAAACGATTAGATGCAACAACAGACAGGTTTTTAAAATATGGAGCCGCATTCGCGAGCGCGATGATAAGTGCCGGGTATATGGAATTGAGGGAGCCTGAAGTAGTTGCAATGATGGAGTATATTGACTACGAAGGATCAATTTCCATAAATGTAAAAGTCACTTGTTCGCTCACAGTAATCATGAAATCTCCAGCAGTCCCATGCGATGCCCCCTGAGATACCCATTTTGTCGGTATTTGTATATTTATTGGTGACAAGAGCTTATTGCCGAATGCAGACTCAGCCGATAGTGTCTGAATGATGTATGAGAGCGCTCTGCAAAGGCCGTGTTGCTCTAGAAATCCATTGAAAATATGTACCTACTTGAGAGATAACTAGAGAAGACGTACGTGGCTTATCTTTGATCTCGAGTGAATAGCACAGAAGATATGCAAGAACATCAACTGCCTTATCTGAGTCCAGCAGGTAAGCACGGAATTTCTTAGAGAAATGATCAGACGTCAGATTGGCACTACTGGATAGACAATCTACTTACCTTGTTGAGCTCGATGATCTTCCAGAACAAAACAACTACACGGGATCAGAAGAGTGAGGCGAACATAAAAGACATGCGTACTAGTCTCAGGCACATAAGGAACCGACTTCCTGGATCCAGGGAGTAGATTGTTTGATATAGCTAGCTGCTGCTCTAGAATGGTAATGATGCCGCTCAAGATAAAAGCGAAATCCTGAGTGCGATGCTATACGCCATAAACAACAGCATTCTGAGATGGAGAAGGTAAATTTACCAATTTCGCCAAAAAATGACGGAAGGCATTTGTTTGTGTAGTCGGGAATGATGAAGTAGCGGCGTCTCCAGAATCTGAAACGATGTCTCTGGCTGGGCCACTCTGGAAATCCAATAAAACACACAAAACTTGCAGGCACATGCCTACAAGTGCTGTCCTGGAATCCTCGCCCTTGAAAACTAGGTGATTGTAAGGGACCTTTCCGGCCACACTGGCAATGGTCATGTTGTTGGTCGTGGCGGAGTTTATCACCGTGTTTAGCAAGGAGCAAAGTAATGTCAAGACATCGCGTCGGGGAGTTTTTCGAACCACATGCAGAGTGTAAAATGACGGATGTGTGAAGAGAGCGGCAGGCGGGATGTATATCTGACGTGATAAAAGGACAAGGAGAAGCCGTAAAACCTCGGTTTTATTGGAGTCATATGCATGATTTGGTCCGGGGTCAGTCGTTGAGCCTATACCCTTCTCCCTAGGTAATTGTAAGTCAGGCATACGTTTTGGACCAATGATGCATACCATATAACATAATTGATTTTGTAATGATCCACCTGTATCTTCGTTGGGAGACTGAAACCGCAACAAAACAGGAGATCGTTGACGCAAGTAAATAACTTTTCTCCTAGCGAAGGCAAGGTTTTCGTCCGTTTTGGTTGAGGAGTCCGTGATTGCGGGTTAGAGCCATGACCATTCTCACTCCCATCATCATCATCTTCAATGACGAACTGTGGTACCTGTTCCGGAGCTGTGGGTACAATTTCGTCGTCGACTTCAACCTTCTTCCACAACACCTCCAGCTCAAATGCGTTAGACTCTCCCTCAACCTCAAACACAACAGGCAGCACCCTTTGCAGGACTCGTAGACTGTTAAGAACCTCCTTCGTTGCGTTGCGCTCTGTGCTCGAGGTCTTCATGAAGGAAGTGGCATACGACGCCATAGATGCTGGTGGTGCGGATGGGAAGGTGTGGTCAGACACGAGATTGAACAGACGAGACGTCACAACTCTGATGAGAGTCGCTACATTTTCTGGCGAGTCAAGGAGAGCTCTACGAACTTGAGAGGTCTCATTAACCATCCCCATTAAGAACCAAATGCTAGGACGTACTGTCATGGGTTGATATGAGGGAAAAGACATCAGAGGGCGTGTCAAAGAGGGCAAAGTACTGAGATATATATTATTTAATCGAACATGTAGACAATAAACCAGGTATCACCAACCTGGTCCCAGTAGCTGTCAGTTTCGGCTATATGCTGCGGTTGACAACTTATCGTTATAGTCAGAGTCTAAAAGGGGATTTCATAAACTCACCCTCGTTGTATACAGCTTCGAGATTCCCTGGGGGCGACTGCGAAACGCTAGCTTCGCCTCGTCGGTCAATAATCCAAAAGGTGCCGTTAGCGTTTGTGGAAGTTTGGCGAACATTGTCGTATGAAAATCGTTGGCACGATATGCACAAGGTGGGGAGTCAAAGCCCTAAGTAGGACCGCCTTGAGTGTGTCCTGCCAGGATCACTTTCAGCGCCTTGTACAATATGGAGATGCGAACCGCAGCGACGTCGGATGCTTCCGAACTTCCACAGGCTCAGAATAGCCTAGACTCAATAGCTGGGAGTACCCAGCTACCAAACACTAAAACGAAGATGTTCGGTCCTTCTTTGCTATGTCAACTAATCAAAACTACAGATCACACCAAAACCTTCTGCTGTTCTTTATAGCGACCCAGAAATTTTCTCCATATATATGCGACGACATGGTCACCGGAGAGCGCAGTGGTAGTCTCTCTTACTACTCGAAGGGCAATCTTCGCTGTTGCCGTCTGGCGGCGTAGCAGTTGTCTGTGAACTCGGCTCGCCTTGAGAACATGATCGGGACGATCCAGGCCTTGCCCAATGCCCATACGAAATGACTGCACAGACTGCACATGCGGTGGATTAAGTCACTGCAATAGAAGAGACGCGCCAAACGGCCAAGCAGCTTTGTCACCGATAAAAGGTGTGTTCAAGGAACTTAAATTTTGGCGATAGCGAAGTCTTACCGCCTCATACTTCGAATTCATGACAGCCTCCCCGAAATCTTCTCTCCCCATACCGAGCAGCTGGTTCTGCACTACCACTGAAGTATTTCTCAGGCGTTGATGTATCGATGGAGCGATAGATCCAAATTTAAGTGTTGTTTTCCTGCAAAACGTGCTAGGCCGGCAGTCTGGCTGTCACCAATGGCTTCAGTTCCAGGCACGTTGGTGGACGTGATAGATGATGATGATATTCAATGACCCTGCTGATCACACATACGAGAACGTTCACTTTGAATGGCTCAGGCGCAATCGCCATCGCCCTAAAATTACACCACTAGGTGGCCTTTCCTTCCCATGCGCTTTTGCATTAGATAGCTCGAACTGATTTGCGTTTAATAGGACTAAGCATGTATCAAGCTTCCTGGTGAACTGCGCCACCGGCGTTTAGCATAATGCACCGGCTTCGCTCAAGATGGCCCCGAGCCGGTATGATAGATGAGTCTATTGGCGATTTGACGAATATATTATCCACAAATCTTAATTCCAATCCGTTGCTTCTCTTCGAACAAACGAAGATAAATCTATGAATTGTTTTCTGTAGCCGAGAAACCAATATCCATGCTAGCCCTCATGTGATCGCCATAACGGATCGTCAAGAAAATTATCGTGAAAGAAGAAGAATCGAAGTTATTCTACTCATCTTACAATCAAGAAGACCAAAGACCGACCGGGCCCCTAACTTACGTCGCTCTTCAGGAAATCACACACCTTCTTCCGCCATCTTCTGACTACAATGTCCGATAAGCGGCCAGCAAACGGTGCACCAACTGTTACAGATAGCGTCGGTGAACAGTGATTTCCATGGTGTGCACCTACTGAAGTTTGCCAGTCCGTTTGGGAAGAAGCACGCCCCGATGATGGCCTCGTTCGTGATACCATACCGAATGCCCTATGTCAGAAGACGATGAGACTCGGACTAGGATAAATTTGGGATCAAAGACTATTATAACTATAGATCATACCTAGGAACGAGGAAGGGACTAAGTAGGATCGTAGTTGGTAGAATATATAGAATCATAAGTAAGGGATCTCACCTCAGTCTGGGATCAAAGACTGAGGGAAATCATTCGACGGAAGGAAGAATTGATATGCTAATTGAGACGGAGAGTCAAAGAGGAACATGCGTCGAACACGTGTAGAAAGGAGTGATTGTGTATGTAAGATAAAATATGTACGAATGAATGCCATCTTGATACCCTACACCATGATACAAGATGGAAGATGACCGTCAGCTTATGATAGTAAATGCCAGCGGTTGTGAGAATGCACTATACAGTGGGAGTCGGCGCACCACAGTCAGTGATAAACATCAACGCAAGCATCTACATCCCACATCGAACTAAGAGTTTGTAACGAGTACGCGATGTACATCATGAATGCACTCACAACCGCCAATAGGTTCGGACTCCGGAGCAACCAGAGACTGCTGAGGATTTATGCATTTGATATGGATCCATCTCCTGCACGTTAGTTTGTCAATGCCCAATGTGCCAGGATGGTTTGTCTCAGGAAACGAAAGGTATACAAGAAACAGGCCGAGCAAGCCCCATGCAGCGAGGTAATAGTGCAAATTGCGCCAGGAACGATACTACGCCGCTGCACCTGTTTAAATGCATCGTTAGATCCGGCATGCCCAAACACCCAGAATATATTTACCTCCAAGAAGCGGGACAACGGCGAACCCGAAAAGTGTAGCTCGAGAAAGCCACGTCAGTTACACAAGAGCGTTCAACATTAGGATCACTCGCACTAATGAATACCCCAATAGCAGTCCCCCTCTCCTCCGATTTATAAATGTCACAGATATCACCAGCACCTAACGGTATTCCCGGAACACCCAAACGTCTGTACGAACCGCCAGAATAACAGACTCCGGAACAAAGCCAATATTGCGACATCGCAGCTCCCGGTGCATAACAACGGCATGCCCCACAAATACATCGATCGTCGTCCATCTGCAGGACTGCAGTTAGGAATCGAAACTACGGCGAGTTCACGACACGCTATGTATACGCGTACACAAAGACGAATAAGCGGCCCAAACTAATGCTCCGGCGGCACTCGCCAAGATCGACAGGCTGACGGTCAAACTGGGAAAATCGCTTGATCACGAAATATTATATACGATGAATTTAAGACACGCACCTGACGACAGCATGTATCGAGCCAAGATCCTTAGCTATTTTAGAGATGGAAGGCGCGAATATCGATGAGACAAACACTATTCGTGTTCACCAGCATCACCCACCGTATAAGCAGTACACTTCAACTACTAGCACTCACTAGGCAACAAACCCACAAAAGAGACGACAAACACGATCCACCTCTTCTGGTCGGGCGCAAACCTGTCATAGCTATCATAGCTTCATGCACGGTGGACGTCAAGAGGGGGTTGTCTTCTGAAACCATTGTGGATTGCGAGCAAAACCTCGATTGCAGTGCGGGAGAGATTTATATGCATGAATTTATATGTATACCCAGCCTCCGTCAAGACGATAGAAGACGAGTATAACAAATCATCCTGTAATCAAGATAAGTGCTACGAACCGAAAGAAGTAGCAGATATACTCGTGTTAACATTATACTTAATGGCTCGCCGAAGTAAATTTGCTGCCTCGAGGTGGGGAAGCTAGAGGTTTTCTCAGCATGTTGGTGCCGGGCTTGTCATGTTGAAAGACGGTATGCATTCGCATTAGGCCTTATCATCCGATTTGTATGGTGCACGTCTGGGAAAACCCTCAACGACAATGATCATATCAGTAAAACACTTTTTTTCCCACCACCAAAAAATGGCTGGCCACAGCTTGGTCCCTTCTGTACAGAGCTGTACAGAGCCCACAGAGGCAAAGTGATTTGCTGATTGATGGGAATCGTCAAACATGCATACATGTTTTCGATATCTGACCTGTGCGAGTCAGGAATGATCGTGTCACTTGAAAGTGAAATGCGAAGAACCAAAAAGCAACAAAATCAAATCTAAACCATCCTCTTGAAGTTGTAACTGGCATATAATCATTCGCGCGTATATAAAAAATCAAGTATTTAGTGGTACGGGACTTGTGCGGAATGAGGGGCTGCCTGGGCGTTTGAGACCGACACTAGCATTCACGACAGTCTGAAAAAAAAATAAACAGCCAGAAAGCAGTAAGGTACAGCAACAAGCCCCGACTGCCGCATCAAAAGCTCCTTGCTCTACTTCAGATTCGGGCTTCGTGACGCCAAGTTAAAGTGCAAGTGAGCCGGAGCCGGGGACTTGCTGCGTGAGCGGCGTTACCGATGGAGGATAGTGCACAAACCCATCTTCCGAAACCTTTTTTCAGCTCCAAAGCATAGGGCCCAAGAGTAGTATTGTGGATCCTACAACGCCGTGAAAGAGCACGTCGAAGCCATGGTGTGAGAGTTTAGTTAGGAAAGAAATGAGCGAGCGCATGTGGAGTTCAGAAGACACGTTGAAAAAGGTGGTGTACAATTGCAAAAAGAGGGCATTAAAGGAGACAGAATAGGGTGTAATACATTAATGAATGTGTGGTAGTATTAAATATTAAATAATAGAGCGACTTTGAATCAGACCTTCGCCGCACCCTCTGCTATCACGTCGGAGGAAGAGCTACTAGATACGGAATGAGAATGAAAATCGAACTGTTTATAGATTTGGTTAATAGGGCGATGCCAAAAATGGATGGTACTTCCCAAATAAGGTGGTGGCTGTTCCGTACCAGCAGTCTCGAGTTGCTGATTGGGCGGTTGGTTCAGGCGGGGGAGAAAGTTCCTGACAGCTATGATTACCTCAACCACCAAATTAGTGGCTTGGTTTACCCATTCGCTGGCTTGCTTAACAAGGTTGAGAACAAGGTCGAGAACACCTGTTACTAATACTTAAAATAGATATTTTTAGTAAGATCTCGAATCTGATGAATATTAGACTTACACATCAAGAGGCCTCCCACTTCGACGGTGATCCAGTCATGGATCTTCCCATAGACGTGAAGATGATCTTTGTTTTTCCCACTCCCTACCAGGATCCAGAATGGAAACTCCAAAACGGGGAAGAGGAGGATAAGCGCTATAAGAGTTGAGGTAATGGAAAAAGCGGAGATCTCGGCATCAAACAGCACTGATAATAGGGATTAGAAGACGACTGGTACTGATTTTGAAACTCACTTATAACAATGAGGTATGGAAGAATCGTCACCCAATTGAATAATTGGGACGCACATCCCCAGTCATGTTGAAGCCCACCCTGTGTGCCGGGTTCAAATCGTGAGTGCCATAGAGAGATAAGGACTTACGAGGTAATGGGATACCGCCGAGAACCAGTAATACAGATTGGCGATGAGAATGGTTACTCCGAGGGCCGATAGGGTGAACATGATGCGGTAACCATAGCTTTGGAAGCCAAGAATCGATGGAAGAACGAGTATGGTGTAGGGAAACATGAACGAAATGAATAGAATCATAGACGATAAACATCGTCTGGTAGGATTTGACATGATGGATGATAAGGTTATACGACTGGTTCAGGAGAAACTAAATATTGTAACAATGGTGGCAGTGGCTTAAGTAATCACGATGCGCAGGGCCCAATCAAAATCATTCATTGCGTACAGCAATTAATTTCCGCAAATTATACTGTAAGTTTCTTTGTACAATTACATAATCTGTACATTGTGAACATGACCAAATTTTGTCACCTCGAACCACCATGCTCTGTACTGGTCCTCATCGCATCCAAATTAGACAATACTTCTTTATCATACCCAGGCACAAGTCTGCTCCTCGAGATACTACACGGCAGGCGCCTCTCCCGCTCCCAGTCATACTCCCGAGACTCCGACGGACGATCCAATGATATGATGGTCTCCCAGCGCCCCCAGCGCAGCACCAGTCCAGAACCTTGGCTACCACTGCGAGCCGTTGCCTGAACATCTTTGGTGTATGGTGGGGGTGGGCTAGTGGAGTAAGAGCACGGGAACCCTCCTGACTTGCCTTGCCTATCGCCAGGATACGAGGGAAGGCTAGTGTGGTTGGCATCTGACACGTTGTGATGCAAGCAAGGTTGGATAAAGCTTTAGATTATAATGCCCGGGACTACGATCCATATGAACATGAAGAAGATACCGCAGTAATCGAGGTCCAAGTAAGTAGGGTATTATTAGACGAATGTGCTCAGGACTTACCGCTGAACCATGGTCGGGTGTAGAAGTGAGACTAGCTTGAGCCAGAGTTGGCGTGGAGGGCATCTGGGAGTCGAACGAGGTTGTATTCAACGGAGCAGGATCCTGTGAAATTATTATGAGGCTTCGTATTTCAAGCACCAGACGTGTATCAGAATCAGACCTTTCATGACGTATGGATCGCCAGGGCCATTCCATCCCTCGCAAGAGACCTCGACTCGACTGAAACGTAAAGAAGACGGTAGGTCTGCCTAGGTACAGCGACAAACCTTGACTGCCGCATCAAGAGCTCCTTGCTCTACTTCAGATTCGGACTCCGTAACGCTAAGTTGCCAGACCAGCGAGACATGTATGTACTGGTCTTGTCGGCACAGATAACGGAGGAATTAGTCATCGTCTCGCAGGAGCCTAAGACACACCAAGAAGTTCTCATTAGAGTGGAGAAGAGAACAATGCTGGCAATCTCCGCGATTAGTTCCAACAGGACGTTGAGCGTCACGGACGTGAGCTCAGGAATAGAACTAGATTAGCGACCATATTGCACTAGTACTGGTACTTGTAATGCAGGATTCCAATGATGATAGACTTGGGAAGGGATTGGCGAACGAGAGAACTGAAACCAGTTGGGCCGGGAGTGGACGAAGCTCGAAGTAGAGATGGATCACGAGCAGAGCGCTGGAAGCAAAGTGCTCCTCCGTCACAGGATTGGTGACGAGTTTGAGACGCCAGAAGAGAGCTTCTGCTGCATCCGGCGCACAAGCAAGTCTTTGGAGTCGACGCGATGAAGGGGTGATGTTGCAGTAAGGTATATCCATGCATTCGAATGAGTGACATGGTAATGCACTGGAATAGCTACTCGACCTCAAATTAGCCTCCATAAGGGGGCCCTGATCGGTCAATTATATCCCACATCGATTGCATTATCAAGCGCGTGATTCCAGTTGTGTTTTCGCCCCACGACGAATGGGCAATTGGCACAGGAATTATAATTGTTGGGATTAGTGTTGATCTCTTGCGCGAGTAGCTCTTCAGCATCCAGGGGTCACCAACCTGCTGCCAGGTCAATGCATCCCACTCCCGTACGGTAGAACCAACCCTACTGCCCCCTGAGAGAAGGCTTGTACCATCGGGCGTCCACGCGAGTAATTTGTTGAATTCTGCGTGACAATCGAAGGTTGCGACTTGTCCCCTCGTTCCTGTATCATAACTTGTGATATTGCTACCTGTTGCAATTGTAATATTGCCAGATGGCGAATATCGAACGCAGGAGACACGGGACCTCGAAGAAAGAAAGCCTGTGCTTGCAACTAAAATACGTTGTGAGACCTGTAATTTGCCTGGAATGTAATTGTTGTGCGGTTCTGTCGATCTCTACATTGAGACAGAAGTCATTGTGCCTTGGGCCTTAGTCCCAGAGTCTCGTCCAGAATCGGAGGCACATTAGAAAAGAGAAAAACGACTGGCACTTACTCACTTTGCTTGAGATGATCGATGCGGGTGGGCCAATAGCACTTCGTGTCGGCAAGTGAAACTTGACACGTTTAATGTTGAACTTGACGAGTAGTGGGAATGTGCGCGGCGCACGTTTTATACGTCTTCAGATGAGCGAGCCAACCTGTGCATTTCTAAGTAGCATCTGATCCAATCACACATCTCTAGGACGACATGTCACTAACACACTCCCATATGCCCCGCAGATTCTCCTTCCACAATGTGACTTTCCCATCGCCACAGCTAACAGCAAGAATGTTTCCAGCGAGACTCCATGATACGCGCCATACGACATCAGGGAATTTGCCCGCAGCCGCTGCACTAGGTGCTCCTGAGGCAGTCGATGGGTCAAGGGCAGTCTTCACCCACGGAGAGGTTAACGAGTCTTTTGTCCAGATCAACACTGTCTTATCCTTGAAACGAAGATATCTTCAGACAAAAAATCCAAGAAAAATACCTTGTGACGAACCTGAGATGCTGTTGCAATATAACTCCTTGGCAGACCGATGTTAGGCGCCCACGCAACATCACGCACCCAATCTGTGTGCCCATCAAGTGTCTCCTCCTCCACCCACGACTGCGTGTCTTCACGGTAGCCCCAGATCTTGACAAGATTATCACAACCAGCGCTGGCAAAACGTTTAAAGGGTGCAGAAGGCTGCACGCCAGGTTGTTGCGGATGAATGAGTGATCCAGGCTGTGTCGCGGGCGCCCAAGAAACAGAGTTGCAGCCGATGGCATGACCGTTGAAGATGTCAGCACCCCACTGACCGTCATCTGTTACCGAATGTTCGTCAGAGATGTCAGCTGTGAACAAAAGAGTGCACACCTTTGAAGGTGAGTACAGAAAGCTTTCCATCTGACGACGCGCAAGCCAACATCGCACCGAGCTCATGAGGAGCCCACGACACAGAATTCACCGAAGCGGTGTGTAACGTGTGCTCCTTCACCCTTGTCCACCCACTATCGGCCGTGCCTTGAGACCGTTCCCCCCATATCAATACTTTGCCATCGTACGAGCAAGAAGCAAGTATGTGTCCGAACTTCGGGTGTGCCCAGGCAACCTGCCACACTGGACCCGTGTGCCTGTCAGAAAGGATGCAGAATTATGAGCTTATTCAACATGTACATCAAACCACGGACCCCTTCAGAGTATGTCCACTAGATTTCAATGGTTCCCCACCAATAACGTCAAAGACCTTCACTGTTCTATCTGAAGAGCAGGTCGCTAAACGCTTGCCATAGTAGTCGAGTTGCGCATCATGCTAGGTTGAATTTTTGAGTACATGTTCAGGAGGCAATATTAATGCTGTTGCATACAATCATGTCTTCATGAGCAGTTTCAATTGGAACCGCTTCAGTCGTGGTCGCAGACGGCATGGTTGCTCGATGCTGCAGATGATTTGGACAATGTCAATGTGGACGTGTCGCAAGTGTATCAACTAAGTAATCTGAGTTTGAAACTATACTGTAGTACTGTACCACTTAGATATAGTTACTACTATCAGTATGACCTTAAGTCTCATTAATCTCATTCGTTGGCAAATGATATGACTTGCGCACTTTCAGACTGACCAGAAAGATGGATTCTGTTTCATTATCCTCGTTATCCAGCCTCTCCACATACCAGAAGTCCTCTCTTGAAAAGGGTGCGTCTTCAAAGATTATTGCATACGCGCTGGAAATAGTGATTGCGAGCCTGGTAGGAGGATACAAAAGTTTATCAGACCTCTTACTCAGTACGCCGAGTGACATCTCGCGTACGTCGCGCATTGCCCCATTAGAGGTTGCCAGAATTCTCGAGGCTGCATGTCGAGAACGGGCAGTGTCCATCAACAAAATCAAAGACCTGCCGCCGGAAGGCGAAGAGAAGTTCACGACGGGAGATGCTGAACTAGATGGTATGTTAGGTGGTGGAATTAGAACAGGAATGCTTTGGGAAGTTGTAGGTGAAAGGTGAATGCATCGGCGTGCCTATTAGCACAGAAAACTGATATACTTTCAGTGCTGCGGGCAAGACACAGTTAGCCCTTCAACTCTCGCTGCTTGTTCAGCTCCCTTCTAGGTTAGGAGGTATTCTAGGATCCGCTTTTTATCTGACGGTTGCGTCGCAACTGCAAACCACACGAATGGAACAAATCCTTAATACCCATCCACTCTTGTCGCCTTCACTGTGTTCTTTCGCAAATATACAACACGCATCCGTTCCCACTATCGAAAAACTCATTTTTGTCCTGTCTAAATCTTTGCCGCAATATATATCTGCAAATGACCAAAACACATCATCAAAACCTCTCAAATTGATTGTCATCGACGCTATCGCGGAACTCTTTCATACTTCCAAGAGAACCACCACACAGTTCCTAGTCGAGCGATCCCGCAGACTATCTGAAATAGGGACGCTTTTGCATTCGCTCGCCAGCAAGCATCAAATAGCGGTCCTGGTCCTGAATGAGGTCAGCGATACCATCGACAGGGACAGTGCTCCTTTGGACAGTGGGCAGATCGGCTACAAAAACCAGTTCCGATGGTTTGGTCGTGCAGACATCCTAGGGGAGGGCAGGAAAGAAGCAACGCTTGGTCTAGTCTGGTCGAATCAGTTGAATGTCAGAATATTTCTCTCACGAACAAGTCGCCGACGATATCTTGAAGAGAGCGAGCGCCCAAGGAAAATTCACGAGTCGATTTTAGCGACGTCATCGAATAATTCAGCCGGCGACCAAGAACCCGTGCTTATCAGGCGGCTAACCGTGGTGTTCAGCTCGGTATGCAATCCTGCCTCTTGTGACTACATGGTTACTGCGGAAGGCATTTCAGTCATTCCTGGCTCTGTTGTTCTGCTTGCTGTTCGACCTGCGGTAGGCAGAGCTGCACCTTCAGGGAGCGCTGATGTTTCGACATCACCTGGTGGGGACTTAACTCAAATGCGAAACACTCAAGTAGCACCATTGGATATCGGCCATGTTGTGGATAGCACAGCAGTTGACAGTAGATATTCCACTCCAGACAACGAGCCAGGGGATGACGAATGGGACGTTTTCTGGGAACGAAATGCGTTACCCGAGTGTGTGTTTGAGGAAGCAGCGAATCTGACTGAGCCCTCCTGATACCTAATGTCGTCCGGAACAACCGACCGTTTATGTATATGCTATTTTTTTATTAGCCACTGCGATATATACATGTGTGTAATATTCCACCATAATGAAACAATGCTGTCCCCATCAGTAACAGTACAACTACACAACCAACACATGCCTGTCTACAGAGGGATTTCAGTCCACCTTTCCTCCGTGTGCGCCTTCTTGGTATGTCTCGCCTTCCTGGTGGGAGGCTCAGAGTACACATTCTCCAACTCCACGTCCAGCGGGTATTGGAAGGCAGCGAAACGTGAACTCGCTGCTTTAGTGATCGGATACCGAGGCGAGACTTTAGTAATACCGGGGTGTGTATCGAAGCATGCGATTACGAAACCAATGAGAGCTAAACGATAGTGAGCGACTGGCATGGAATAACATGATTTGCCGAACATACCAAATATAGCGGCCATATAGAAAACAGCGAGGAGAGCATTAGCCATTGTGCAGTCACCAGACTGAGAAAGATCCCGACAAAGGGCGGTCGCGTTATTCTGACGTGCATGAACCGTTAGAGTGATACAAGATGCTGGTGGTATGTCAGAATGGCAGGCATGAGCAGCACAGTCATATTACGAACTGATATCCGAAAGCCACAAAGTACCAAAGGTAGCGATATTTCTAGTGTTGCTAGCTTCTGCATGTCTCCTGCAATATAAAAATGAGAAACTGTTCGAGCCGTCAGCTTTTCACATCTACAGTGTGTGCCATGATGAACTCACGTAATGGGGAATACCAACAGAGCTACGATGCTTGACGCAACGGCAATGACCTCGAAGGCTGAAACAAATTGGTGTGCATGAAGGCTAAAGCTAGGTTAAAAGCACTTACGTCCTGCGGTGTGCGTAACGATTACCGGCCTTAGAATCACAATAGATGTGATATTGCAGATACCAATAGCGACTTGAAAGAAATAGATGAGTAAACGTCTCGTATGAGAAGAACAGAGCATGGTGAGCGTACGGAGTAAGAGTCCACGGGAAAGAGCGAATGGGAAGGGCATGGTGTCACGGACAACCGATGTAGATGGGGCGATGCAATGAAAGTGATGATGCACAAGAAGATTGAGCCTGCGGAGGAACGTTGTGTGAAGTGAATTTGCCATGTGCTGAGGTTTTATATGGGCCAGTTCGCCTCGAGTGGACTGTGGCCTTTCCGAGTGGCAAAAGATAAAAGCGGCTTGTGGAGGAAAACGAAAGCCAATGCAAGGATATTATGACACCATTGTTCTCGGAAGTATGGTCAATGGGACATGAAAATTGCTTCAAATCTGTGTGGGCCAACTTGCGGTGCGTGGACCACCTTGCAGGCCTGGTTGATAATGCTCGGAGAAGATCATATGAGTTTAATTACATAGGGTGAAACACATAAAATGCTTGCTTTGCTAGACGACTCAGAAATGTCACAAAGAAGCCAATGCACCCCGGACATCGACATATCGAATGACCCCAATCCGGTACTCCTTACGCACATAGTTAGGAGGGAACTCGGAGTCCAGTAAAGTTAACGGCATAAGTGCTGCCATTTGCCCAGATTGAAATATCACGATCGGCCATTTCGGTATTACTTACTATGAAACTTGAGACGCCGAATAACATCAGTATTCACTGTTCGCCGAGCGGAGGGTGTCTGTTCAATACCTGAGTGTACGTCCGTCGCGCCGCACACTAGCACTAACACTTCAGGTTAGAATACGGGTCACCGTTTGTACCAGGATTGATCCCGAATCCAAGTCTGCGATAAGTTGGAGGCTCTCCTATGGCCAACTCGGAGCTCGAGTCACTTATGAATTTCTGACTCCTGCAGGGTTTCGGGCCATGAGCGCAACGCATTTTGCATGTGACAGAAGTGCACAGCTACGTGTGGATTTTCGAATGTGACCGTTAGCAAATTGCTGGTTGTCCGTGGTGTATCAGTGACGGTTCGAGTTAACGCTGACCAAGTGACCTTCTAGGCTAGGATATAAATATTCCAGTACGCACGCACTTATATATAGAACTTACACCCGAGAATCGTAAATATTAAAATAATAATATATCGACCCTCATGCATCATGTTCGCCGGCTTCGAAGGGAGACAACTTACTCACGACACAAATATTAATGACCTCGTTAAGGCCTACCAGCCTGAAGAGCACCTTACAACTTATTACGCTAGAATGAATGAAATATAATTATCCATATACAGGTGCAATCAATTCGATTTGAGACACCAAGGCAACCAAGCCAGAAGTAACAACTAGAGTACAGACGGTGAGCAAAGCGGACATAGGAAAAGGGTATGGAAATGGAGACGATGATAAAAACTTTCGAGACAAGACCAGACGCCCGTTGCCCAGGACGATCTATGGCTTTCCGGGGGCACCAGCCGCGCTGAACATGTGCTGTCGAACGCGCGCTTATAGTTCAATCCACCCCTCCTGCCCAAAAGTATTCTCGCCCGAATAACTGACATAAAGGAAGTTATCCTCATCCCTAGAAAACAATGAGATCTGGCCTGGTAGCATTCTGGGGTGCGCTCACTTATGTTCCTCATAAATAGCGCTCATGAGAGCTGCCGTCGGGGGGAGAACCTCGTCAACGAAGATAAAGATGGCCTTCTCTGGTGCAAGCTTGATACGCTTCCGGATGACGTAGACGAATTGGCCAACTGTCAGATCCTGTATAGGGAGCAAACATATAAAATCGACGATCAGTTATCCATCGGCACTCGTGATAAGCAGGGTGATGCGCACTGAGGGTACGAGATACTTCTTCTTGTCGATGGTAGGAATATCTGTCCGGTCAGCCTTCTCGCAAATTACCTAGAGTCGATGCCACTCCTGTCAGGGACAAGAAACGTGGCAAGGGATAAGAGGGAAAAGCTAACAGGAATACGGTCAGGGTACTTCTGCCTGATGCGTTCAGCCTCTTGCTTGCGCTTCTCTGAGGAAGGAGAACGCGTTAGTAAGTCATGCCTTCATGACGACTGCGGGGCGATGATAGTACGTACCAAACGGGTGCTCATCCTTGAATTTAGACCTCATGACGAACGTTACAAGCGATGATCGAGTTCAGTAAGTGGGAAGAATTGACTTCTGAAAAGAGAAGAAGGACTTTGTCGTGGGTGGTGGTCAGCGTTCAGGATGAAATGAGGACGGCTCGCTGTGCCGCAATATTCAAAGCTCCTCGCGGCCGTGACGCGTGACGGCCGCGTGACTCAGCTGTGGTGACGAGGCGATCTGGCAAACATATACTGACAAACACGACAAATCCAATGCATACAACATGGCAGTACACCTCACTAATACAAGACTACGATATGTATAGTATTGTGTGATAAACAGCTGACAGAGTCTGTGTAAGAGAAAAAAATGGAAGCAATGCCACAATTAAGCCCCAAGGCCATTGCCTATTCCGGCAGCCATGCCCACTGCCATCGCATTGCCCATCTGCACCCCAGTCCCGTCCGTAGGCACGAAGACAGTCTTGTTACCAAATGCTTGAACACGCGTGACCTCCACTCTACGCATCTCCATCCCGCGCGCGAATTGGTCCGTGACTTTGGCATCAGCAGCCGCCCTGACGCTGACCGCTTGTGCATCGGCCTCAGCGGTGAGACGGATAGCTTCCGCTTCTGCAAGAGCCTCGATCTTCGTGCGCTCAGCCTGGGCTTTGGCAGCGGCAATGATGCTATATGCCTCGGAGTCGGCTTGCGTCTATTATAAATACGTTTGTTATGAACAGCTTGGAAGATAAGTCAGCACTGACATTACGGCTTTGAGCCTTGATGCGGGCAACAGCGAGAGCTCCTTCTTCCTGTTTAACTTTATTCGAGTTTTCTCGGTCGACATTCTGCAGTATATAAATGAAGGGAATAGGCTATATCATAGAGGATGAAACTTACCGCGGCCTCGACCTGCGCCTGTAACGCCCTTGTTGTAAGTTTGTCCATAGTTGACGCAATTTCTCCCTTAAATTGTCGGTCAATCACGGCTAGAGTATGGTCAGGTCCAAATGTCACTTGCTATCAAAATGCCACGCTTACCAAGATCCTTCAAAATGATACCATACTCGAGTGCGGCCTCATGCATCTCGTCCATGGCCCGGGTACGTAGAGCGTCAAGGAACGCAGATGAAGGGTCCGTACCATCGTCGAGGTTGTCAGGTCCAAGAGAGCGCTGCTTCACCATGGAGCTGTAGTCAACTACAGTACTTGAGTCAAGTTATCACACAAGAATCATCGATGAACATACGATGAGCGACAATCTGCGTAAGGATAGACTGGGTTTTGTCACGTAGCGCATCATAAGGGGTGTTGTAGCCATGTGTGGTAAGCTGCAAACGGAGTGAGCAACCACTGGCGAAAGCCGTCAATTAGCCAATTCATCGAAAGGCGCACCTTTAGGGGTTCCATTAATTGCCTAGCAATTTTATTAATGACTGAAGTTATCAGATGCATCGTTCTCACTGCTCACCATTTTAAATAGATCCTCAAGCCGACAGGCACTTGGTCTCTTGTGAAACTGGAAGCCAGCAACGTAAGATAGGGTATCAATGGTTGGGCAAACTACTTACATATCCTTTGTAGGCATCTCGAGCTGATTCTCTCCGAGCGTAAACAAACCGCGCAATGTGACGTTTGGATTTGTTATATAATGTTGTCCAGCAGGAAGTAACTCGAGGTCGTCTCCGCGCTGGAGAATGGCACAGTTATTCGCCGGGATGTTCAAGCTGTGCACCACAATCAATCAGAACAAGAACATTGGAACGGGGAACAAATGAACAATAATGCCACAACGTATTCCTGTTCTTTTCCTGAAGCGATGCGACTCCGCATCTTAATTTCGGCAATCCTGATCAACATTCAATTGAGCATCATGAACAAGATGGGATACAAAGGTACGTACGAGCCTAGGGTAGCGCCTGTTACTGTGTCCTTGATAGAAGTAGACAAATGCGTCTGGTCGACGATGGCCAGAACGTCATATGTTCCATCAATTGCGTATGCAACAAATCCTGAATTTTTAATCACAAAAATACGATTCTGAGGATCGGAGATGACAGCTGCTTGGTTCTGGGACACCTGAACGACTGTTAGACCCTGAAACTGAATCGAGGTGTCCGAGACTGATGGCCGCCTTTCAGTATGACATCGCGTAGAATGTCGGCACACGCACGTCCTTTGGTACCACACCATTGGCGCGCCCACCAATTACGGAGGGGAAATCCAGGGTATCGACCAGGCTTGGTCAATATCTTGGGGAGACCACCGTGTTTGATCAAACCAAGGAAACCTGGAGCAACTTCCCTACCAGTCCACGACACAGGGACCTAGTAATAGTGTTGTGATGTAAGCCACCTTCCCAAGCAGATGTCAAATTCGAATTCACCTTGTTTGACAAGAGACCTGTCCGCCCGGACTGTAAATTGACGCGGTGAATACCAGAACGAAAGGTGTACAAATTACGATACTCACGTCCCGAAGTTGCCTGTCGATTTTCTCTAGTGCAATAATCACGCCGTCCTTACCAATGGGTACGAAGAACAGACGTTCTTCCAATGCATAATCCGCAGTTTTGGAGAACTCGTGCAAAGACACTCCTTTTCTGGGATGCGTGGAAGAACTATCATAGCTTTCGTCGATGCGGTTCGATTTCTTGAGGCCTTTGTATTTTACAGGGTAGGAAGAGCCACCGACGACCGTGTCGGCATCTTCATCGTCAATTCTGCTGCCCATTTGGTTTGTCTGTCTGAGGTTGTGTTAGGATATAAATATGGACGCGGGTCTTTGATATCATATATATAGGGGAATGTGAACGAACCTTCGCTGGCGTGTGAAGTCGCTATATTTGCCGGGGTCCAGTGGGCCTGGAGGCAGTGGTAAGGAACGAAATTACTATTGGAAGATCTCAAATCTGACAACCAAATACGTTGCAGTATCACGTCGCATCCAGTCCCTACATATAGTAGGTGGCTAGTGGGCCAGTAATATTGGGCTCAAGTGCAGTACATGTAGTAGCCTATGTAGATATGAATATTCAAACGAATCGATTTGCATGACAAGTGATAGGAAAATGATTCACCTTGGTCACTGCACAGATCTTAGAAGAAAGCTGCCGCCAGCTGATAATCGAATCTCTCTCCGGCAGCAGGCTATGGAAAGCGTAAATGGAGAATACACAGCCAGTCAGCGCTGCCCGCATGACTACAAGACCTAGCGCAGGAAGTACCTGGATTAACTGAGGAGGGTAACTTGAAGTAGCAAGACTCTATAATTACTGGCCCTATGAAAGTTGACTTAGCCGAAATCAGAATTTTCCATGGCGGAGTATGTAATTATAGCTACCTACTACGAATGCTATGACAAAGCTCCACGTAGTTTTGGCACGTGACATTCACGTTACTTAGTATGACTTTCAATACTGTAACTCAACCGTCACGGTAGTTTCGCCCCAATGCAGATTCTATGGCTGCTCTTGACACTGCTGCCGTTGGTATACTCGAATTTTGTTAACAACACAGAGAACCTGCTATGGGGAGCTTACAGACCCAACTTGTACTTCGGCCTCAGGCCAAGATTACCCCAATCCCTTATGACTGGTCTGGTGTGGTTCGGCACTCAGAACTATCAGTCTATAGCCAGTATGTGACCTAAGCATACAATTGCAGCAGATCAACTAAATACTTCATTAGAGGCTCGCCACGCGTGTGACCAGGGCGATGGCCTTGACAGCTACACCTGGACGCATTTCGATCCACGCCAGGGCGGTGTACAAATACTGCAGGACAGCCAGAACAATGTGGAAATTACCACCGAGCTTTTGAAGGTGCCTGGTGGCTCCCATGGTGGTAGTTGGGTTGCACGTATCAAAGGAACACCTATCAATCCCAGTGCGCTTTCTATCATGACGTTCCATACTCGAGGCATAGTCTATTAATACTCCCGGACAGTGTATCCATCTAGAATTTCCACTATATTTTATCTCGGCCTAGAAGGACTAGGCGGGGTGGATATGGTCACCGATGAGAGCGAGAATGTGAGTCCCAACAAAGTGTACGCATAGCCAATTGAGTTAATTGAATCACAAGGGAATCGACGGACCGGTAGAATTCTCCGGCACTACGCCTGACCTCGGTGATTTTACTATCCGCATAGTCGACGGTATGTTCGTTCTGTTATTACGTGATATTGAGTATCGCCTCATCCTGTGCAGCGCCCGACAACGAGGCTGTTACTACTGGCCCGCACTCTGAGGCTTTCGAGGAACGGCTAGGAAAAACTCACCTAGCAGGCTTGCGTCTGCCACCGGGGCAACTTTGGACCGCGAAAGGCAAGTAATTCCTCTCGGAGATTGTATCATTCCGTGACAGTACAAGACATCAGATCACATTATACAGAGCATCGTTAACCGTGCAAGCCCGATTGTTGAGAAATACCACACTGCTGAACAGGCGCCTGATCCTTCGTTTATCCTGCAGCTTCCTGATGATATTCTCACTGCAAGCAATCTTTTTGCTGTTCAGAAATCCTTTGAGGGAGAGTTTCAGTTTGATGTCTTCTTCGAGAGTGCCAGCGCGAACCAGACGTTTGATGGTCTGGTCCAAAGTACTTTTTATTTAAATGGACACTAAATTTCCACCGCAGCGAGCACCATTGATGAAGGCATTGCGGCTATTGTAGCGTCTTTCGACAGTCGCTTCGAGGAGACATTCCCAATCCCATCATCGTACGCAGCCAATGATGTTACACGTTTGAAGTCTTTTAGCAAGGCGATCACCTCCAACCTCTTCGGTGGTATCGGCTACTTCTACGGCACGTCTATCGTCGACAAAGGATTCGCATATGAATGGGACCAAGATGATGAGATCGACGACGAAGATGATGGACAGAACGGCGCACGGTTGACTGAACCACGTGCTCTGTTAACCGCTACGCCTAGCCGCAGCTTCTTCCCAAGAGGGTTTTACTGGTAACCAAACAATTGTTTGAGTCAAGTTCACTCATTTACTTTTACAGGGATGAGGGCTTCCACCTTTTACACATAGGCGCATGGGACCCAGAACTTAGGTATTCAAAGACAGCTCTTTGTCATATATCTCTATATCTGACCACTTGTAGTCTCGAAATTCTCAAGGACTGGATTAAGCTCATCGATGACAATGGCTGGGTCGCACGTGAACAGATCCTTGGTGAGGAGGCACGTAGCCGAGTCCCTGTGCAATTCCAGACCCAAGTGCCTACTTTCGCAAACCCTCCAACTCTGACGATGGCAGTAACAGCCATTATCAAACAATTCAATGCTGCGCATGATGGACCTTCCGCTGCAGACCTTGGGATGGACTATGGCATGGGTGGACAAATGCCCCTTGCCGGCAATCCCAAGTCCAGCGCGGCCCTTGACCGGACGGCTGTGCAGTCTGGCTTACGCGACATGTACAAGCCCTTGAAGCGGCACTATGAATGGTTCCGCCGGACGCAGCGTGGGCAGATCAAGCAATACGGCCGTCGGGCGCGGTCACGTACGGAAGGGTACCGTTGGCGAGGACGCTCTGAGGCACATGTTTTGACGAGCGGAATGGACGATTATCCGAGAGGTCCGCCGCATGCAGGGGAACTTCATTTAGATCTAATCAGCTGGATGGGCTTCTTCACCCGGACAATGAAGGACTTCGCACAGTTCATTGACGAAGAAGAGGATGCTGCAAGTTTTGCTGAGATTGAGTTGGCTATAATAAATAATATTGATGGTGACAAATTTCCGGGTTTTCAAGAGGCGCTGATTTGTTGTCGACTGATACAGATCTGCATTGGGACGAGGAAAACGAGATGTACTGTGACGTTGGGATTGACTCAGACGGTGAGCTCTTCCCTCCTGTATCGTTTAAATACCCATCATCTCTCTACTAGATGAATCGACCCATATCTGTCATGCGGGCTATGTTTCACTCTTTCCCTTCATGCTCTCGCTTCTCCCGCCGGACTCCCAACACCTTGGGCCCATCCTTGACATGCTGCATGATCCCGAACAACTCTGGTCGGAGTATGGTATCCGCAGTCTGAGCAAAAGTCATCCCGAGTTCGGGCAGGGGGAGAACTATTGGAAAGGTCCAATATGGGTGCAGATAAACTATATGGTGCTTGGCGCGTTGCATAACACGTATGCGCGCGAGGAGGGACCGTTCCAGGAGAGGGCCAGGGAGATGTATGAAGAGCTGAGGAGAAATGTGGTAAACAATGTGTTCAAGGTAGGTCTCCCTCAAAAGCGGTCTCGGGCGTTGCTCATCTTGGCATAGGAATATCAAAGAACAGGATATGTATGGGAACAGTACGATGCCCTTACTGGAGAGGGACGGAGGAGGTTCGTATTCTGTCTCTAATTATTTATCTCTGGCGCTGATCGTTCATTTGCAGCCACCCTTTCACTGGTTGGACATCGCTAATCACGCTCAGTAAGCATTTCCCCTCTACCTTGGCCTCGAAATTGTCTAATTTCTACCTCTTATATAATAGTCCTCGCAGAGAAATACTGAATCAGACCCTAGCCAGACATTAGCCAAGAGAAAAGATTCGCTACGTAGTGTGTATCTTGTATATACCATCGGCAGAATCAGCTGGACAGAAAAATCCATGTGGCATGATGGATACCTCCGCTTGGTGCAACAACGCTATGGAGCACATGCGAGAACTTTCGCTACCTGAGGCTCGCCAGACGGCACAACAGTGTGTCGTCAAGCCATAAATTACTTTCCGACTTCCACAACACTGTAAATGCAAGACGCGTGATATGTGACACAGATTTTGTTCGTGAGTTTTGCACATGGGCTCATTTTTACCCCAAGTTCCTACAATCACATTTCAGCGCGCGAAGTTGTCGGAGTATAAGTACGGTTTGAAATTCACTGAATAAAACATTGGATCTTCTGAGTGGTCCGCCTCGAGGACACTCGGGTCTTTAAAATTATGATGATCTAACTGAACTCTTCGCTTCTTCATTGTTTAAGGCAAAGGCACGTGTCTGTAGGAATGTGATAGACTTGCACGCGATCTCCGAAAAAAAGAAAACCCATCAATCAACGATATTTACATAGCGACATATTTACACAACGCAAACTTTGGACCGTGATGAAAATTGAAATATCATACTGCGAGGCATAGAGGGATATTGGTAATTCGTTCCGATTCTTCATCTCCTCTTTAGTGGCGATGACACATGCGTAGAGGCTTCTCATTCGACTTCAGGATAAATACACATGATGCGCCTGAGCTCCGCATCTGGAACCCTCGGTGTAAATACGATAGGGCAAGAGACATGTGGCATCGCCACACGCATGAAACCCACGTCATCCAATGGCTTCGTAGGATCTAGAGTGAGCCGGAATGCCCAAAAAAGAAGGACCGAGTTGATCCACACCGATCTGTACCGGTCGAAATGAGCTCGGAAGATTATGTACATGAAAGGATATCTTTACCGGTTCGCAAGGTGTAGACCGGGGCATACGCTGGAATGAAGGACAGTCAAAGAGAATGTATCTCGAAAGACAACACTGCTCACCGCCGACCAAACCCATAGATGAAAAATGCGAGATCGTCTCTCAAATGACCTTGATCATCAATCCAGCGCTGAGGCTTGAACACGTCAGGATCAGGGTAAACTTCTGAATCTCGCGAGATGGCCCTGACAAAGTAATTGTTAGGACCTTCGCAATTTAAAGGACGATATTTACCAATGGCTACCGAGAACCGTAGTCCCGGCGGGAATGCAATAGTTTTCCTGCCGAGTGGATATCATATTATCCTTCACGCGACAAATTATTTAAAGAGCACTTGCCCAAATCACGTCTTTAGTTGTTCGGTGAGGAAACCCTGTAGTGTGAATGACGTGAACTTCAGGTATGGGACAGACAATAAAGATACCCACCATTGGGACCCAGCGGTCTCCATCTCAAAGCCTCGGAGATGAAAGCCGACAGCAGAGGAAGGGCTTGTTGGTCAGCGAAGGTTGGTGCTTTGGTGGAGAAATCATTGAACCGACAGGACTACAATAGAATGCTACGGATCTACCTCTGTGCCTTCCTACGACTTCATCAAACTCAGCCTGAACTTTAGCTTGCTCCTCGGGAAAACATGCAGCTGCCATTAGGACCGTGCATATCGCTGCCGCAGACTAACGGTTGATATCAGCCACATATCATCGGAAATGATGAACCAGGCCCCACCGAATCGCTTCCAGCTGCAAAAAAGGTGCCAGAAAGAAAATGCATCTCTAACTCTGACAAGCCAAGGAGATGTTCATTTTCTAGCAAATATCTCCCGAACGAAGGACCGACGTCCACATCGCTCTGCTGTGGGACAGTTGAGATAATGTACGAAGACTGGCAGATCAGAGATACGTACTAATTATTGTTTCAAGCGGTTCATCTGACTAGCGAAAAGTTTCCGGTTGCTCTCAAACTCCCTTTTAAAATTTCTGCCGTACCAAGCAACGCATCTGAGCCAGGGGATCGTGTCCACCCAGTAAGCGCCAGGGCGCAGGACTGTCCGAAATACACTCATGAGCTGACGAACCGATCTAACTTCGGGATCAGCTGCAGACGTGGGCGTAGCCTTCCCATATGCCACTGTCAAAACCGTCGTCACAGCATAACTTCACAATACCCGTAAGTAAAAGCAATATACACCAGACCTAGGAAAGCACTAACCTTATCACGTGGTTCTGGAAGTTGGATGGGTCATCAAGAATGTTAAGGACCGTGTTCTTCGCGAACGACATCTGCAGAGGCTAATACGCCTCAGCTGCTTTAGGCTGGAGATGCGTATGAAGTGCTCTGGATCACGATGCAATGTCAGATAGGGGCTTTTCTGTAACAGTATGCAGACTACGAACCTATGTATCCGACGAAATCTGTCCCCAGCGCGTGCAAATGCGATGGTCAATCCACCGGTAAGCATTTGTCCAGCACTCATGGAAGGACGATCAGCCAGCACTCCGCCCCGCTTCTCCATAATGTCCACCGCAGCCTGTAGCAGGATGTTGAGCTTGGATGTGACAGCTCAGCAGAGAGGGACCGACTTTGTAGCGGCCGATAATAACAACTGTCTCAGTTCCTGTGCGAATGGTAATTAGAGGACCGTACTCGTCAATCCATTTCGCTACAGTGAGAAATGAGCTGACCACCAATAGGACATGATTAGCATTCAAGAAAAATACAGTGGATGAGAATTCTTACTTGCGAGTGGGAAGGAAGTGTCCCATAAGTCTCCAATTGGGAGGGGAAGGTGGGAGAGGAAGGCCATTCTTTAATCTAGGACGAGAAGCCCGAGCAATCACCACTACCACTACAAGACAAGCCACAATATCGAGGAAGAGCTGCGTGTTGTCGAGCAGTAGCGTGACCGATTGGAAGAGCGGATGATGGATAGGGCAGACCTTATCGAAAGCGCAGTTTAATACCCCTCACTGCTACCGCACATACCGGATGTGAGGTATACCTTTGTCGGACGCATCAGTGCTAGGAGGTGCTGCAGCTGGGTGGGTGCTGGCGCGTCATCATTGGTTCACTTCACTGATAACAGGTTGGAAGTTCGTTTAGCAGCTAGTAATCAAGGAGAGAACAACACGGAAACTTAACTCTTTTGGTTCTTTACGCGCGAGTACTGCACAAAGATTGAAACGCGTCAGCTTCGGACTTCCACCAAGTCGGTGTGTAATTGAAGCAAAAGATTGGTAAAGGTAGTATCCTTGTAGATACAGTGACACAGTGGATTAAATGGGTCTATCTGAGAGGGGCCTGGTCCTGGATAGAGATGTGCGCAGTTGTTGCACGAACACCCAGTTTGGACCGCCACTAGGCCCGATCGCCGTGCCCGTGTAGTTTATCCTAGGTAGACCTTTATAGACGATGAAATATAGTCGTTCCTTCTGGGTCCCGGATAAATGAGTCCGTATCCGTGATGCGCATACAGACTCTCCCTTCCTGAAATTCGTTCGCTTATACCACGATGAATACTTAGTAGTTGTAGTCATATCACTCCCGTTGAATTAATCGTCGCTCACATTAAGATTGACTGCCACTAGTACTGCAGTAGGGCTCCCGCCTTACAACCAGACTTTGCACTGCACTAAATATCTACACATGCCGCTGCGAATCATTCAGTGCGTGATCACAGTAACTTACAGGGAAGAATGGATACAATGAGGTCCACCGCACTCAGACTGTGACTAACAAAATGATACTTAAAGTTAACGTTTGTGACACAGAATTTGACGACGGTCCTTTTTGCAATTTCACCATGTACCGAAGAAGGACGGCTGCAATGATTGACGGTCCTATCTCTCGGCGGTGACCCACGGCAAACCGTTCTGGCAACGTGCTCGCTTCACTGCTGCTTATCGTGCCTTGTCTGGTAGTTACTCCTGCTCATTAATGTTCTGAGACTTCTTCTTAGACTAGATACTCAACGAATACATTTTTTTCTTTACCTCTTTGGACTGCAAACCTCACCGAAAGACCATCAACGAAATTGTTGACGAGCTACACTTTTATAACGAATTGCTTATCACATATCATGGCACCCACAGGCGACTACTCATAATTTCACAACTTAACTGTATCCCTAATCGACAGATCACTCATGTATTAAATATGGAACCCGTCCTTCTATGATCAAATGCCATTACTAGTAGGTGGTGTGCAATACATCATAGTCAGACCACGACAACAAGGGTAAAGATATCGCAATCTAGAAGTGAATGGCTTTCCCGTAGGCAGCCATTGCTGCTTCCTTGAATGCCTCGCTCAGGGTGGGCTATCGAGGAATGTATATTAGTATCACAGATTTAAAGGGATGACAAATTCCGTACGTGAGCATGCGTTGTCCGTGCAATATCCTCGGAACTTGCACCGTATTCCATAGCCAGAACAGCTTCTGAGACCATCTCGCCGGCGTTAGGGCCTAGAAAAGACAATCAGTATAGTAGGATAGTGCCCCAATTTACGAGGCTTACCGATGATGTGGACACCTAGAATGCGGTCCGTCTCCTTCTCGCTAATGAACTTCACAAAACCCTCGCTGTCCTGGTTGGTCTTAGCACGCGAGTTTGCAGCGAAGGGGAATTTGCCGATGTTGTATTTTACACCAGCGGCTTTAAGTTCCTGCTCAGTCTTTCCTACCCATGCTACTTCAGGGTGAGTGTAGACAACAGAAGGAATGCCATTGTAGTTGACGTGGCCGTGCCCTGCGTTGATGTACTCAACAGCAGCAATGCCTTCCTTTTCGTCAGTTATAAACCATAATACAGCCCGATGGGGCTCACCTTCCTCCTCAGCCTTGTGAGCAAGCATAGGTCCGAAGGTCACGTCGCCAATGCACTTGATGTTCTTTACTGATGTGTTGAACTGGTCGTCGATGACAATGCGGCCCTTGTTGTCTTTCTCGATACCGACAGCCTCAAGGTTGAGACCCTCAGTATACGGACGACGGCCGACAGCAACAAGGACAACATCTGCTTCAAGCTGTAGTAGACTGTCGGTAACAAAATAGACTAGCCCACAAATCACCACCTACGATTTCCTGCTTGTCGCCCTTGGCAGACTCAGTCTGAATGATGACATTCCCGTCTTGCTTGTCCGCAGAAAGGACCTTGGTGTTGAGTTTGAACTTGATGCCCTGCTTGGTAAGAATTTTCTGGAATTGCTTGCTGTTGGAACAGGTGAGCTTGAGAATTGTATTCTGATTTCGCGTAAACTTACGCAACCTCCTCATCAATACCGGCGCCTCCAATTGTGCCCAGGAACTCAACAACAGTCACTTCTGCGCCCAAGCGACTCCATACGCTGCCCATTTCGAGGCCAATGATGCCACCACCGATGACGACCATCTTCTCAGGTACCTTCTGCAATTCAAGGGCACCAGTTGAGCTGACGATTTGCTTCTCGTCAATCTCAATAGCACCGCCTGGGAAAGGTGCGACTTCGGAGCCAGTGGCAATGATGACGTTCTTCGCCTCCACCTCGGTCGACCCGCCATCATTGAGCTGAACCGCGATACGCGTTGCGGATACAAACGATGCACTGCCCTTAATGTAGTCGACTTTGTTCTGCTTGAAGAGCATCTCAATACCCTTGGTGAGGCCAACAACGGATTGCTCCTTGGCCTGCAGCATCTGCGGAAGGTTGAGGGAAACGCCAGTAACTAATTTCATCGTGAGCAATGAGTCAAGAAACATGCGCGCAAAACTGCACACCATCAATACCACGCTTTTGGAGGTCATGTTGCGTTTGGTGGTAGATATGAGAGTTGTTCAACATGGCTTTTGAAGGTATGCAACCGACATTAAGACAAGTGCCTCCAAGGCTGCCACGCTTCTCTATACATGCAGTCTGGGTAATCATCAGTGCTTATCCATGTTCCGTGATCCGAACAATACCTTCAATCCCAGCTGAGCAGCCTTGATTGCTGCAACATATCCACCAGGACCTGTGAATTTGGTACTCGTCAGTCTCAGTTTATTTTGAATTGCTGCAACTCACCTCCACCAATAACGACGGCGTCATATGGACCTGAGGGTGTAGCAAGCCCCCGGTGAGAGTTCCACGCGCCGAGCTGGACAGTTGCTTTATGCAACCTCCGTGCAACGTTCTACAATAGCAGTAAGTAATGCAGAGGGTCGGGAGGCAAAGTTTCATACTTTTTGCGCTGCTCTTTGAAGCTGGAGCATTGATGTGGTGGGAGCCGGACAAGCTATTTGTGAGCAAATTCTCTCGGTCGGACGGTATCGTGTAATCGTATTATTGTCACGGTGTCACGTCATAGTCACACCCTGTGTATAAGCAGTAATGATGAGTAAGAACATTTTGGTATGAGAGTCCAAGAGGCGCGCAATATACGAGAATGTTCGAGGTCAGCATAGAGGGATGGTTGAGTTGTATTAATGTGGATCGGCATCGTACAGTTTGTGAAATGAAGCACAGATAAATATGAAATGGATGATGAAACCTGCCACGACGAGGTCCAGCCTACGAATCATATGTATGTGTTCCGCAAACAAACTGTAACAATTGACATTTCATAACATACGAAAAGCGGAGATCACCGTTGTGAAATACCCAACCCTGAAGCTGCCAAGTTCATGCTCACATCAAAGTCCTCAGCGTTGAATGAAAGTGAGTCAAAGTGCAAGCTGTCAAGCCGCAACTCGAAGCTGATATCCCTTGGCCGTGAGGGTGAGGGCAACTCGTCATCGTCATCGTCACCATGAAGCAGGTCGAGATTGCGACCATACTTGCCTTCGATCTCCCTTCCGTAATCATCATCAACAAAATGCACCGCGGCGTATGGAACATCGGGATAAGAGAGTGTACTCGAGGTCGACGCGGATATGGACGCGGAAGGAACTGTGGAAGAGGAGGGAGGTTCTGGAGAGAAGGAGAAAAGGCGATGCAGCTCATTAACGGAAAAGCGTTTGCGCGATCTTTGGGTGGAAGGGGGGCTAGGTGACGTCGGGCGCTCGTCCTGCCGGAAATCATCCGAAGATACAGGACGCAAGTCTTTCTCTGGACGTTGAAGATCCTGTGATGAGACAGGTCGCTTCAAATCCTTGCTGGACTTGGACTCGGATGAGGGAGCTCGTTGAAAGTCGGCCGAAGACACTGGACGACGAAGACTATGGTCGTATGTGGGTGCGCAGGGAGTGAGGGGGCGCTCGATGAACTCATACGAGGGCCGAATCTCATCGATAGAAGGAGTGGTGTCAGAGTCCTTGAGATAAGGCAATGACGTAGTCGTCGAGCTCGAGAGAATTCCCTCCGGTGAGGAGGAAAATGGCTGTTTCTGGAAGAGGCTCGAAAGCTTGCGACTCGCCGTTGGTGGCACATCCTCTCTGGAATGCAAAACGCCTCTGAAGATGCCTGGCATGCTTTCAGTGGATGTCCATAGGTCCTTGACATGCGGTTTGGAGTTGTTTTGCTTGCCACGGGGGAGAGAGACATTCTTTATGGATAGGAATGCACGGGATGCACGAGCGCGGAAAGTCTTTGAGCGTTTTAACTGTGACTCTGGGTTAGACGGCGACGGTGGGACGTGATCTGTGTGATTGGATTTTTTGTCCTTGGGACGTTTGACCTTAACGACCTCAATCACGTCCGAGTCCTCTCGCACATCATGCGGGACAATGCGAATGAGGTCATTATTGTGCATTGAAGAGATGATGATATGATCTGGGTGCTGATGCTTCTCGCTCCTACTGCTAGATGTAGAGCTCCTGGACTGTGGGACAACCACCGGGCTTGCACTAGGCTGCTCATGGTGGAAGGAGGGAGTGGTTCTGGCTCGTGCAGCAAAAAGGGCACATCGAATAAGATGTCAGGCTGGTTAGCAGAGGACACCTCGATGGGTCTGCTATTTTCTGGAGGCAGGTCTGCATCAAAACAGCACCAAGGAGGATTTTGCGAGTGCTCTTCTTCGGGGGGTATAACGAAGACGTGAGGCACACGAGCAGAAGGGTCCATAAACATAATGACAGTGGCTTGAATGAACGACAGTGGGTTATAACAAAACGATGGTAAATGAGCGCGATAGGCGCAATAGCTTTGCGATAGCACTGACGGTTCGATTGCAAACAAGAGCCAGTCCAAAGTCAGCCACAATCTCTGTTCAACGTTCACTTGCCTTTTACGTACACACGTGAATGTAAGAACGGATGGAAATCTTGCTCTGAACTGTCAATGGCACGACACATGAATATATCTTTCCTGGGCACCTCCAGCGGTGGTGGCCCTTCAATTTCTCGCAACTGTTCTAGTCTAGGTATGGAATTTCACTTTGTGACACTTCATGTTGATCTTACAGAGACCATTAATATTACTTAGTCGCAGACGTCATGGGGGACGGCTCGCTATGGAGTATGCTCTATTTCTTTAACACTTGACTTAATTAACTAGCCATCATCAGTGGTCGACTGTGCAGAAGGGACGGTGCGGCAATTTCAGGTGCAGCATCGCGGCCAAGGAGACCCAGTCCTTAAAGCGCTCAAAGTAACCAAGTTATTTGTCACTCATATGCACGGTTTGTTTCATCAGATTTGTGGAATTTTTATCTTTACCCCGGTGTCCTTTTAGCTGACCATGTAATGGGAATAATCACTTTCCTTAGACATGTCCTCCACCCGCCACTGATAGCTCCCTCTGGCGACCTCCCACCTTCAGACGATTCTGTATGTTATAAGACTTTGTATGATATCCATCACTAGCTCCTTCAAAGCCCAAGATCGAGCTTCACGGTCCTGCTGGCCTCCGTACATTTGTTCGCTCGGTCTTTACCATGACCCTCACCCACACAGGAGAGCGCTACGTAGTCCATGAACTACTAACGTTATCTGACACACCCACTTCATGCAATCCTGCTATGCTTCATCCGAGCGAATGTCCTGGTCAGAATTTCCTTTGTGATGACGATGGGTTCTGGAAAGGTGTCACGAGTGGCACAGGTTATTACGGCGAGGTTGTAGTTGATGCAGGACCAATACTGCATCGGGGTGAGAAATTTAAACTTCTCTTATACGCCAGTGCTGAATAAATTCGCACAGACCCTTGCATAGGTTATGTCTTCCACGAGCCTAACCCTCCGCATCGCAAACTTGTCATTCTGGGTGATACATACGATGCATCACCGATTATCCCGCTTATACAATCCTCTACAACCGCGCCCGTATCACTCCTCATTCATGAAGCGACAGATACGTACATCTCTCGACAAATTGACCCCTCAGCACGACGAACCAAAGACGAAGTGGATAGCAAGGTTGCAGCAAGGGGTCACTCTACTCCGGTAATGGCGGGCACATTTGCGAAACAAATTGGAGCTCAGAAAGTTGTTCTGAATCATATTGGTAGTAGGTGAGTACACCACATGTTCTGAGATTGATCTCATTTAACTTGCTTACGTACTATTGTATCATTTCTCTCAAACGTCATCTTCATGCCCTACTTTCTGCCTTGCTACTAATTTTCTCGCTTATCGCAGATTTCCAGCTCCTAAACAACTCAAAAATCCTCACGACTCCCGTTTTGCTGTCATCGCCGAAATTGAACGGCAAGCGAGCGAAGCATGGGGAGGTGGCAAAGCCGTCGTCGCATGCGACTTCATGCGTATATCCATTGCTGCTGATCTGAACGAGGAAGAATTTTCGGGTGTGGCAATGGAGCTGGAGGATGAAGTAGGTGAGATAGCGAGAGGAAGAGAGCGCGGGAGAGGAAGAGGAAGAGGGACGCCCAGGGGAATGAGCCGTGGAAGATGGAGAAGTCAGTGGAGAGGACGGGGCAGAGGTGGCGGTGATGTGGATAGAGGTGGCAGTGATAGCGGTCTCGGCAGAGGCAAAAAACGCAGGTTTGGAGAATAGGCTCACTTCACGCCTTACGCGCGCGTGAGTCGATATTTTGAAGGGACACGTCATAAACGTAGCCGTAAGTAATCTTAATCATGTGTTGGTTATTGCAATGCCGTTAGTTTTTCTGGTGCGTCCAAGGGAGAAAGTGTTGCGGGCTTATCAGACGCGGAACTAAGTTTGTTTATCCTATGCCACGTCCAGTCTGTTACTAACTTTTTTACGGTACTCCAGGGTCTGCCATGGGGGTACGTTCGACGGCTTCTCCGAACATTTCTGATTTATGACTTTGGGCTATCAGAAGGTCGGATCAATGGCATTTTGTCAGAAGACTGCAATCATTGTCACAGTGTGCGTTCGGCTCAGAGATTTGACGGTCACAGGGTGCACGGAGCATGGTGTGCGGATGCCAATCGTAATTTGGGCCGTAATCGTAGGCAACTCAGATTTTCTTCTATGCACATCTCGCTCGACCCCTGAATGTGATTTGGTCTGATTTTTATAGGGCGTTTATCACTTCCTTCCAATCGCAGCACTGTGACACACTGATGCTGGAATCTAGTCTAGGTACAACTTAGATAGCCGACTGGAATTAATTTCGGTAGGCCCACCATAACAGGACTACCGCGGTCGCGAGTCAGTATCACACATCCACAGTAGGTGGTGGGACCTCGTGCACCCCTGTATTATTATACTTAATATCTCCCCACTTTCCTAACACTGTAGTACGTCAAATTTCGTCAAGTCTCAACAACTTGGGTGGTCAAGCGGACTGCACTCATCACATACGTGAGATATTCCGCACTACTATTGGACTATTTTTCTCAACATTCTTAAAGGTCAGGAGCATTCTCCACCTCATCATCAATCCCCAGAGCTTTTCCCGATCCATGGAAGGTCTATTCTATCTTGTATCTTTTTCCGGACCGGTTCTACCAGCGCTATTGTTTGTTTTAATGTCCCGGATTCATTTGCAACATCGTGCCGTTCGTCCTGACATCTGCCCGAAGGCACTCATTGATGTGCTCGTCATCTCGATTTGTCAGTCTGTCAAGACAGCCAGACAAATGTGACAGGTACCCAGCTTCCTGTCCATTCCACCTGTCGTTCGAAGAAGGACGGAGTCCCCAGGTATGTGTATCATTTTCAAGCGAGATCCTTAAGTTAATGTGCGCTGCTGCTGCGTCTTACAAGAATCACTCAACGCTTTGTCCACGCCTGTTGGCATTCGACCAGAAGTGTATGCCTTCGTTGGCCTGTCGTCTGAGCAGCAAAAGCCAAGCTGATACAGCTACCAGGCTTCACTTGATACGACCTGGCGAATGTGAAGGTGAAAGTTATTCGTCGTACGAACTGATATTTTACAGGCGAGGAAGGGTGGTTTCTCAATTGGGGCAACTGGAAGGCATAGTCTCCCTACCTTTTCCTGCGACAGAGGCACCGTTCACCTATCTGTACTGCAACTTCTCGACTGAGTTGTCGAATAAGGTAAGGAACATGTCGACCCCTTGATCACATGAACCATGACGAAGCAATATATGATTCTGGGACAAATGTACAGTTTTTACGAGGTGAAACGTAACTCAAGGGTCAAGACCTGGCAGTATTCGACGCATGGTGTGACTTGTCATCGCTACAGGAACTTCTGGTCTTCAAGTATGTAACAGCTCGCTCAATCGTATGGTGTGCATCCGAACTCCTCATTCATGTCGTGGAGAAGCCTGACTCGCTCATGGTGCGGACATACCTGATTTGCGAGATGAAGAGATGCTCGGGGATCAGAGCAGCATCCCTACATCGATACCGATGAATGAGTCTGATCGAGGGTTATGAGCAGAAATACGGGAACAGCTTGTCGATAGATGTTTTGAAAAAATGCATGTTTTTTTTTTGGAAAATTTCTACTCAGTAGACGAGGCGATGAATAATCCCTTACTGGTAGTAGAGACAACCTATTCGATGTGTTTGATCGGCCGCACTGCAAAGACACGTTCCTCCGAGTATGAGGACGTAGATCTGGAAGAGCGATGATATAGTGAACCTGTCCATTGGATAGAAAAACGAGGTGCACAGTGTCCCGAACGTGTGACTGCCTGTTATAGGTCTTGTCACATACAGAGCGCGGTGGTTTTTCTTTTCTTTTTGTCTTGGCTTTCGTACCTAACTTTGCTGCCAAGTTGAGGCATATCACTATGGCTAATCGCGTTTGAAAGGATTTGTGGGCTTCTAAAGGACTCAATACAGATCGAAAATTGTGAACTAGGAAGCGAACTTGAACGTTCGTCGAGTGAGTATAGTAGGTACAAGCCATCCGCGTACACAAGGACGTGACAGACTCGAGCTATAAATATGCCAGAAGAATTCCTCTTCATAAATATACCGAGGGGGCTGTGTATCGCGTTTCCCCCCTCCGGCTTCCTACAACTGTCGTGAACAAACCTCCGGCCGCGGTTGCATGAAGATCCTGCCATTTCCACAACCCTTGGCGTGTTTTCGCGCGCTATCATCTCGGGAGTATGGCGACGAGCAAGTGGGACACATCCACCGGAAGAAGTGGCTAAGAACATGCCTCTTAAAGCTCCCCTTGAGAATGCGGCTGTCACATTTACCGTCCCAGCAACAAATCCAAGGCTTCGAGGGACGATCGGATCTTGCATTTGTGAAAAAGCGGGGAGGAACGTGCATACAGGCGAAGTGCTTCAGGATGCTGGGGGCTCCGCCTTCGATTAGCGCCCCGCAGGGTCGACCTTGCACATGGTATTGACAGCGAAGGCCACCGGATGGTATGAGAGGAGGCGCTGGTCCGTTGTCCATCACATCACCGCCAACAATGGCTGGATAGTAGGGGTCATCTGCATTCAACACATGGGTATATTCCCAAACGGTCATGACATCTGCAGAATAATTATCATTAGACTCGATACACTGCCCTGGATTAGAACACCTGACCTTGTTCGTCATTCGCCAGCAAAAGTGAGCTATGGACGTGTTGATTGCCTTCGTTGCCGAATGACAACAGTGAGGAGGGTCCATGATGCTCCTCATTACGCATGAAGTTCTGAAAGTGGTTGTTCACAGGGAAGCCCGTTAAATCGCCAACAGCGTATTCGCCAGGTGGTGCGTATGCAGGCTGCGACAAATATGTCTGCAGCCCGACAATCAAGGAGTCACCGTGTTCATACCCAGGCAATGGCCAGAACGAATCGTCGAAACTACTAGAAACAGTATGAGATGAACCCAACGACAATCGATTCAGGACAAACCTTTCAAAAGGAAGTTGATCACCGTCATCTAGAGCGACGGGAGTCACAGATTGCAACTCAAGATCATCCTCATTACGGGACGCGTGAACATCCTGAAGAGGGCAGTGAGTTCAAGACGCGGGGATCTCGCAGAAAGAGCTTACAGGGATTTCCATGGTCACAGAAGTGGTATTGATGTTCGCTGTCTCCAATCACTCAAGTTTTTAAAGACGAGAAGGCGCCTACAAGCCAGAAATTCAAAAAACGCGGTGGAGGGCCTGCTTGCCAGCTAGAATACTAAGCACCCATGATTTGGAGCATCTCAACTTTTCACGTAAGTAAAATTCCCCGTGTTCAACGGCCCAGGTTTCATTAAGGTCGATCGGAGAATGATGTGACTGGGGTAGCGGGCAAGGCTCATCTAGGCACGGCGATCGTCGTTTACCCTTAAGAGTCAATGGACGTTCATAATCGATGCGGGATTACAAATTACCTCATCCTACACCATGCACGACGAATGCACGCACATGAGGATTACGCCGGCCAAGACACGGGTCGACACAGCAGTCAGGTTTAGAAGGGGGTGGTGTCCTCGTTCGCGTGGTCCAATACAAGCACCACGGTTTCATTCATTTAACCCACCTTGCTGTACACTGACGGGGGCAGGTTGTGCAGGGGCATTACACTACCATGTTTATCTTGAATGAACAAATGAGGTCAAAGATCGACCATACTTTCCCACCTACTACCGGAGTTCGACGGATGTGTTTGAGTCCCTTCAGTATGCCTAAAGCAACCGACTGTTAATCCTCACTTTTACCGATTTCTTCGATTACGCACCCTGCCTGTGTTGAAGCCCAATGGAGAGCTGGTAAGTATGGGCAGGGATGTAGTTGTATTTGATTTGCGACAACATGGAAAAGCCTTCCAACCTGCCTATTTACATGATATAGTATCGTAGCTGAAAGTTGTGCAGGGACAAATTTTGAAAATCGATCACGACAGTGCCCCCGGTTTGATGATACGACTTTCCTATTGCAATAGGAACGAGGATGAAAGTTGACTATTGGCGATAAGTGCATCAATAATTATCCGTGAGCCTCTCGATAGGGGCTAGACGCCCTCGTCGGAGCTCGAAGTGACCGAGAAAAACCGGGCGTTTTCGAATGACATCTGTAGCAGCGACTGCGTATCAGGGTTGTTCGATTGATCTGATTGCTAAATCGCCACGGAGGAACACACCCTGACTTAGCATCACGGTGATGCGTGGAACGTAGAACGAAGGGTCGCCCCGGAGGTATACCTGACTTGAAGTTCCGTCGTCTGATCAGAAGTTCGGCATGCGGCCTCAACCTGTCCACGTGATTAGTGGGAGATCTCAAGATGGGCTGTTCATCGAAGCCACACGTGAATCGCTTCCTTATACCTACGGAGAGCTCAAGCGGAAATACTAGTGATCAGGTCAACGGCAAGTGATCAGTTCGACAAAAATGGTATTTGTTTGGCTAGTACCCCTGCCACTCCCTTGCACGGTACCGAACAGCTTGCGAGTGTATCTATCGACCTACCACCTTGCCCATCGGAGCAATCGTGAGTCTGTTCATTCATTGACAGACTGTGAATGGGTTGATCCACCGTCGAGCTTGAGTCATGTTGATTGACGACATCGTCCGTCCGTACACAACCCTCACGACCCTGTCCGCGACCCTTGTGCACGGTGCCCTTCGTGACCCTCGGGATGATGTTCAATGTGATCCTCGTCATCTTTCCCGTGGTAGTTCTTGCGACCCTCTGCACCTACACGACCAGGTGACCATTACCATGTGCGTCATAGGGGGCGAAACTACTTTGGACTGAGTTTTGTCCAAGCGCTGGCACAACTGGCACTTGGCGCACTGGCAAAACTCCCAGACACGTTGCATCAACGTTTCATAATAACACTACTGGTTATTACATTGACGAGACACCCTTCGTACTAGTCAACGGAGACTGCACATCCCAAGACAAACCATTCTTTGAGTCAGATCCCACCTGTTAAATATCATCTTCGAAAGCTGCTGGATAATTCCTTTGCCAACCTGTTCTAGCTCTGCGAAGTCGTACACCTTTCCCGCCAATATTCCATATACTTCCAGTTGGGGATCAATACCTGATTTGCAATGCGTTGCTCAATCTCGTCAAAGGCAGCTGCAACCTCATCTTCTGACTAGTTGGAGTGCAATAGTTGCACTTCCAGAATTTTTGGCGGGAGTTGTTATTGACTCGTTCGAGTTCCGTGAAGTTACCAGGACCTTGCGGTGACTCACCACGAGGTTCTGAATCAGCGCGAAGTAACTCCAATTTTCGAATGCGACTCTCTCCACCCCCCGCGATGCCTTGTACTGGCACAATTCCCATCATTCCCGCTACCCTAGTGGTTCCACACCTCCAGATATTTATGGATCAAATGAGGTTCGCGCAGAGAGTGATTTCAACACTCGGGATAGCTCTCCTGCATCGGTTTTACTTGATCACTTTAGTCACGGTGAGCGGGAACGTTCATACCTAAGTCGATACAGCCTTATTTGGTACCTACTATGTTTTGTAATATGCTATGTCGATACCAGTATAGCGGCTCCAAAGCCTGCTTTTGTTTCATTCAGAACATCCCCCAGAACACTAAAAATCTTGCGCATGAATATAGATAAATACACTGCCAGACTCTGATATGTTTTCGTGCATCAGAAAACTTGAATCTATGAAGATCTCATCAAATATAAGTATCAAATGATTGAATAACATAAATAGTAACACGAGTGATGGGAAGGTACGAGAGGGTCATTATACCGACTTGTGGCGGCGGGAGAAGCTTGGTATTTGGACGCACCGGGGGCTCTCAGCGAGGTCTCTAAGATCGCCAGAACCTACCCTACCAACGATAACAGATGAGTCCATGGGGTGGCTTGCGAGGATGCTGTTGTACCTCTTAGGGAGTTGAGGGGGAGGGAAGGCCCTAGGGAGAGGCAGGCCTCAGAGATGCCAGGTTTCATCCTCCAGTCTATCAGACCGTGAGAACATCGGAAAAGTGCTGCCAGGTGGTCGGGGGTTTGACCAAATAAATACCATATTGGATGCTTAGCTGAAGTTGATCATTCCCTGCGTAAAATATGACCTTGAGGGTATTCTGACATCATGAAAGTGGGCAGACTTATGCGTCTAAAATTGCATCAAAAGTGGAGCCTTTGAGCTTCCATCCTTGAATAAAGGACTTCATTCCCTGAATCTGAGACCTATTACCTTTGAGCAACGCGAACTTTGCAAGGAATCACTGTATGATCGATATATTCAATATGGGGCACTTTAACGTCCGTTGAGATGGTTGGTACGCACCATGGTCCCCAGGCTGGCCACCCAAGGTTCATGCGAGGGGCGCGGAGCTCTGGCAAATCGAAGCCATGGAACTCCAACATTATTGAAACGATACCTTGATTAATGACAGGACAAGCAATAGAGTGGCAGTTCAGTGCCGCATCCGCGAACTTTAACCTTAGCGTCTCTTTGTGTTTCATATCTTGTAGATTGATGGTCAGATATCTGCGAAAAATTCGCGGTATTTGAATGAGACGGGCTGTGTGGAGTACCCATGTTACGTACTGCCAGGTTCATCAAGAAATAGACTACAAATCCAGACCAGCTTACGTGACAGTCAGGCTTATCAGGAAACAAAGCCTTGTTAAGTAGAACCCGTGAGCGGAACCACATGTGACATACAGTCCGCGGTCATGTGCCAGACGCCACTGCTGCGATAACGGAGTCTGAGACATTGGTCGACGCACAGACCTATCACGCATGGACAGCATCGATGTAGTGACCCCTGAATTGCCTAATTTGTATGCTTCGGAATGTGAGACCGATGATGAGTCCAAACATAACGGGGGACGCCAGTTGGCATGAAAATCTCAAGTTGACGTACCCTGAAAAGGACGCCACAAATGTCATCATGCTGTGAATTCCATGGATTCGCTGGAGGCATTGATGGCATCAAAAGCTGCTTCTGGAGTGAAGAAATCTGAGTGCGGTTCTTAGCAGCGCCTTGTGACGCTAAAGTTGAGATTCGGGCTGTCGGGCTTTGTATGCAGGGTCCTAAGAGCCGTTGTAACAGCTCAGTCTGGGACACGAACATGAGGCTATGGTCGAGTTAGAGAGGATATGGCACATAATATTGATGAATGTCGAGCGATATTAATTTGTAGAACTTGAATCCAAAAACTGAGCTTTCCACGTTGATGTAGTGATCAATGGACAACGTTAAACTTCAAGTGGATGTTTGCGTCTGCTTGGCAGGCGAGCACGATTGGGGTCACAGGATCTAAAGTCACCCTTTCTCCTGGTCGTTCACCTTCTCTTCTTCCCATCAACGAGATATCATTTTCAGCTCCCAACAAGCCTTCGTTAACATTTCCAGCACTAACTTTCAGTACCCCTACTCTTTTGCTATTTTTTTTAGCTGCGAGTTTGCTCTAATTGCTTTAGTACTGCCGCATCACCAACATCAAGTAGGCGCTCGCTACCAGTCGTGCCACTTGCTCCTTCCGATTTCCAAGAACACGTGCGATTTCTTGCAAGGAGCAGCTCTTTTTCACAAATGGCATCCAACGTTCCAATAAATGGTGTTAAGATATCTCGTGCGTACTCTCTCAATCAACTTCTACACTTTTCTACATCCAAATTTGGTCGCCATGTCTCTTTTGTAATTGTCATTCCTTCCCCGTCATTTCCCGTTTTTATTCATTGCCTCCTTCTGTCTTCATCATGTCTATGTCATCTTCATCTGATGACATTTCCACTCAATTAGCCATCGACGATCCCCACAAGGTTGTCAAGGTCGTCGCAACAGACGGTAAAACATCAGAACAGAGGGAGATTGCCTACACAAATTGTAAAGTCATTGGAAACGGCTCTTTCGGAGTCGTATACCAGGCAAAACTCGTAGGAGAGTCGAAGGACAGAGAGGATATAGCCATCAAGAAAGTCCTTCAGGACAAGCGATTCAAGGTACGTAATCCTTATTGTTCGTCACCCTGCGCTTCTGCGCTGGTTGTGATGTGGACCGCTTTTCAAGATGATGCTGATGGAACGGTTTTTGTTGGCGTGATATCATCGATATCGCGCGAATAGAATCGTGAACTACAAATCATGAGACTTGTATCACATCCAAACGTCGTCGACCTCAAAGCTTTCTTCTACTCCAATGGAGAAAAGGTTTGAAAAAATCTCGCTCCCTTCTCATCTTGGCGCTGATTTCAGCTTTATTCTCAGAAGGACGAAGTTTACCTCAATCTTGTTCTCGAATACGTCCCAGACACCGTTTACCGCGCGAGCCGTCATTACACAAAGTTGAAGCAGCCTATGCCGATGCTTCAAATCAAGCTGTACATGTATCAGCTTCTCCGGTCACTTGCCTACATTCACTCAGTGGGCATCTGCCATCGCGATATTAAACCTCAGAATCTCCTGTTGAACCCTGCTACGGGCGTTCTAAATTTGTGCGATTTCGGCTCAGCAAAAATCCTCGTCGCTGGAGAGCCAAATGTTAGTTACATTTGCTCGAGGTACTACAGAGCACCTGAACTTATTTTCGGTGCTACCAACTACACAACAAACATTGGTGGGTAACAATATTATTCTGTACTGTGTGGGGGGGGGAGTAACGCTGTTCTAGACATATGGTCGACGGGTTGTGTGATGGCAGAGCTGATGCTAGGCCAACCTCTGTTCCCTGGGGAGAGTGGCATCGACCAGCTGGTGGAAATCATCAAGGTTCTTGGGACACCATCGCGAGAACAAATTAAGACCATGAACCCAAATTATATGGAACACAAGTTCCCTCAAATCAAGCCTCATCCATTCTCCAAGGTATCACCGCAATTTTGTGGTGTTGTTACCTCGTGTACTTACGTACAACAGGTCTTCCGACCACGCACTGCGCCCGAGGCGATTGATTTGGTTGCGAAGTTATTGGAATATACGCCGGGGGCACGTTTAAGCGCAGTAGAGGCCATGGTGCACCCATTCTTTGACGAACTACGAGTGGAGGGGGCAAGGATGCCTAACGGGAAGGAATTTCCTCGTCTATTCGACTTTACACGGGAAGGTATTGACAGCAGTTTTTGCAATGTCAATGGCCACTCACCAGTTCATGACAGAGTTGTCAGTGCGACCGGACTTAAACCGACTTCTGGTTCCCTCACACTGTGAGGCTGAGCTACGCTCACGCTCGATCGACCTGGATACTTTTGTGCCGATACCTCTGGATCAGCTCAAGATCACGCTTGATTGATTGAGAGGAAGGAGGCTAGTATCTGATTTCTGCGTATCCTATAATATTGATCGATGAGTGCGTGTATCCTGTCTGTGTTGTATTGATTCTGTATCGTGTTCACGTCATATTTTTGTTGAATTGATTTTCCACGGTTCGTTCAGTACCACTGTACCACTGTACACATGATGTTTACTATTATGCCTGTCGTTGAGCAGATGTTTTGTTGCTGCTCCGAGCTTGTGTTGGCTGAAATTGTGACACGAGATTATGATGTGACAAGTGACGCGTTTGATTAGGTTGCGCGATGTTGCGTGAGATGTTCGCAAGTAGGGCAATATATAGAGAATCTTCGCAAGTCTGACTTCATTCGACACGGTATTATAACGAGCCATGGTATGAGATTATTATTTAATCCCTCACTCTTTCTTCCATGGCGACTTCAACAACTGGATCATACGAATGCGATACCTTGCCTGCTCCCCGTCTCGCTTCGGGCCTGACTCCTGATCTAGACCATAATCGATCTCCATCACCTTTCTCAAATTTTGAGCCTTCTTCTGCCGGTTCATCTCCGCTCTCGACAACCTCAGACGTTGAGATGTATATTACTCCAACCGCTCAGAGAAAATTATGTGTTCGCCATCAGAGAATGGCGGATGAGGGCACCAACTTAAAGCTTCAGCAGGTATGTTTGACATTAGCTGATGAATGGGTCAGCTGCTGATTTGAGTTCTACAGGCTCTTGATGCTTTGCCCGTACAAGAGCGAGAAGCTATAAATGCCATCTGGTCCGGTTTCTCCTCATCATCACATCCCAGGCGGGAACTCATTCTCCAGGGCATTCTCACCATGTGCTGTTTTTCTCAGCTCTCCTTACTGACGGAGCAACTTGGTCAGCTAATCCGCATTGACCCATTCACTGCCCTTCCCCGCGAGGTTTCACTCAGAGTCCTTGCGTGTCTGGACGCTACCTCTCTTTGTCGCGCTGCTCAGGTAAGCAAGCAGTGGAAAACCCTAGCCGATGACGACGTCCTATGGCGCGGAATATGTGAACAGCACATCGGGCAAAAATGCCTCAAGTGTGGATGGGGGCTACCTATCCTCGAACGAAAGCGCGCCGTCCGTATGAACTCTGCGTCTCCATCGTCGTCTCCTCCTTCATTCCCACCCCATCATACTCCCGACTTGTTCGTTTCCGAAATACCTGACATCTTGCCGTTCACACGACCCTGGAAGGATGTATATTCCGAGCGCTTATCAGTCGAGCGTAATTGGCGCCGAGGGCGATGTTCAGTCCGGACGCTACGTGGGCACACAGACGGTATCATGTGTCTCCAGTTCGATGAGACATTGCAGCATCCTTCTTTCCCGATCCTCATCACGGGCTCGTACGACCGTACTGTGCGTGTGTGGAACATTGAAACTGGTCTCGAGGTTCGCTGCCTCCGTGGACATACACGTGCTGTGCGGGCATTACAGTTCGACGAGGCGAAGTTGATAACAGGGAGTATGGACCACACCATCCGAGTGTGGAACTGGAGAAGTGGGGAGTGCATACGTACGCTCGAGGGGCATACGGAGGGTGTTGTTTGTCTCAACTTCGACTGCAACGTGCTTGCTAGCGGGAGTGTGGATACCACTGTAAAGGTGTGGAACTTCCGCACGGGCGAAGTGTTTACGCTCCGTGGGCACCGTGATTGGGTCAATTCCGTGCGGCTATGGGAGTCTGAAGAACCGGCGGACGTTGAGATGACCTGCGGATCGGGTGGTGAGCCAAGGATATCTCAAGGCACGCTATTGTTCTCGGCCTCAGATGATGGGATCATTCGCCTGTGGGATCTTGCACGGCGGACGTGCGTGCGCCAGTTCATGGGACACGTTGGACAAGTGCAGAGCCTGAAACTGCTGCAGGTGGACGAACGCTGTGACGAAGGCCCTAGCCGCCAAGAGCGGCGCATTGCGGATAATAACATGGCCCATGTCGCCCAAGTTGGGAACGCAACGAACCCGTTTGAAGTTTGCACGGTCATTACGCACGATGCTGATAGCGAGAGTATGGAGGACATCCAGAGCCTTGATCGTGTCACTAGGGAAGTGCTGGCAGGTAGCAGTCGGAAACGTGCTAAGAGGCCGGTGCTCATTTCTGGAAGTCTGGATAACACTATCAAGGTTTGGGATATTGATACGGCAAAAACCACCCAGACTCTATTCGGCCACATTGAAGGTGTCTGGGCGGTAGCAAGTGATAAGCTGCGGTTGATTAGTGGTAGTCATGACCGTACTATTAAGGTCCGTCTTGTTCTTGAATGATCATATACCTCGAAACTTAAATATCTGCTTTTAGGTGTGGAATCGCGAGGAAGGCCGATGCACAGCTACATTGGTCGGACATCGTGGCGCTGTAACATGTTTGGGTCTTGGTGAGGATAAGATTATCTCTGGTAGCGATGACGGAGACATTAGAATATGGTCTTTTGCTGGAGATAACCGACTTTGATGAAATATACACCTTTCTTCTTTTGTTTCGTTGTAATGGTATTCCCTGGCGTTCCCTGGATCTGATTGCTTTCGAGTTGCTCATGGAGTTCATTACGTAAGATTAGAATGTTGCAATATATATTAGTTTCTAGTAGTACAAGACAAGTGTATATTTCAAACACTGAATGCAATGGCATCTGAGTAGTGTAAGAGAACTGAACGCCCCCCTCACCCGCGCCCGCCGCGTTGTACAGCGGAGCAAAATGCTCTGCAGAGAGTGCGCCAGCGCGAAGCCATCATACTTGCCTTCATGAGTGACTACTTCCGTTTGTCAAGGATAAATCGTGAGCGATGCCAGTGAGATGAGATAACAAATGCAGGATAAACCTGGGACTGGAATGTAGCCACTATTGTTGCCTGGTCAAACATATTCACGTCGGAAGACGCCAACTTCTCTACAAAATGCTTTCGATCATGAATATCGTGGATGGCCAGACCGCCTGCTAAGATGAAGATTCCCTCTTCACTATCAGGGTAAGAACTGTCAGATATAAATGTACGAATGTGAAGTTTAGACCCAGGTACGAACCAGAATTTCGATATGATCTTTTCAACGGCCCAGTTCTGTTCGGGGTTGGCATCAGACCTTTCGATGGACGCTTGAACGATGGGCATATCATCGTCGGCGACGAATCTCGTCCCAAAACATAAGCTTGGAAGGAACAAAGATGCCGTGGTTCAATTCCGTGTCTCATAGACGAGGCGGAGAATTTTGACCATCCTACTTGCGGCTCCCGCGGACGTCAGAGAGCTTGGCTTCTTATCCCGTCTAAGTAACAGCAATTTCAAAGTAGGTATGGATAAAGAATGTCTTTCTGTTGAAACACCTCTTTGAACAACTGCACAAGGCGCTCAGCCAAGGTGTGGTCTCCTTTGGACTTCCGATTCGAATGTTTGTTGATAATATTAGTGGGTCTCAAACTCGAAGTAGTCCATGAGGAGGAATTCATATTTCCGTAATTCGTCACAGCCAGACTCGTCTATTTTAAGCACGCACCGAGGGCACACGGGGACCCCTGAGTACTACAACATACTGCGATCATTTCCCAATGAGCGCTGAATACAACAATGCCCTTCTGGCTTGTATTTGGCCCTTCGGCCGAAATCTCGCAAAATTTTCGCAAGGTGTCCGTCCGGTTTCATCGCTGGATTCTTGACCTGCTCAACCATGAGCATGCGGGACCCGTGCCCGGGGAAGAGTACGAGAACTTTCTCTGGAATAGGGGAGGCGCGAGTCTAGTACAGCTCGCCATTCATTATGTGTCTTCGGAAACAATATTCCGGAGTCAAAGAGAGAATGAACTACGACGTGGAAATACGGCGGTACCTTACATATTAGTAGTCCCCGACCGGTATCAAACCACCTTACAGAAGCAGCAGCCTTCCGAATCCCTGCTGCTGATCAACAATAAAATTAATGACTCCGCGGCAAAATATCGCGGAACCGTGGATAGACCAATGTTTGAAATCGATTTGAAATCTGACAAACGATGGTCCGTTCCGTTACGAGGCCAATTCATTGAGTATGCATTGTGATGTGGATCGCGACCTACGGACGGCACATAGGTCACCATCTCCACCACAAGGCAGGTGGGATGAGCGTGTGATCTGTGGTGTTGTCATCGGCCTCTTTTGCAAAATAGACCCTGGGTGTCACCGCCCAGCACCATCGGAGTTCGATTATGGCAGCCTGCACTCGTGAAGTTAGCGGGAGTCAGAAGCGGATGGCCAGAGTTAGTTAGGCCGTGCGAGATCAAGATCTCGATGCCAAAAACAACAGGTATCAACTAGAGTAATCTGATGGTCAAGTCACAAGAGCAAATATAATTTGGACATCAAGATTCAATATCATGACGTACCTGGGCGATCCCGCGATGTGCAACGCAGAGTCTAATGGAAGTAGAGCATAAAGAGTTGCCTGTGCGTCAACTACCTGTACTAAAGGAACCCATCGGACGAGCACTTAACTTACCACTGGCGGTGATCTTGTGCAAAAATGCAACTTGAACAGACAGACAAAGCGTGTCAGCGCATAATATCGCAGAAGACTCGTTTGTGAGAAATGTCAAACAATCAAGGTTAATCAGAAGTTTTCGCCATACGTACCAGAATGCCATTCGGACTTGAAAGATGCATCAATGTAAGCACCTGAAATTTATCATCATATTACTCCCTGGACTTCTGTGTTTATTGTCGTCATTTATTCCATACGTCGGTTGAAATATTAATGTCCATCCTGTTCGCAAATGCAACGTAGCTTCTAGTGCAAAGTACATTCTTCTGCGTGTCATCAAATACCGAATGCAATAGTTGGAGCAGAGTAAATGGCGCTGACGACCTGAACGCCCCCCTCCTCACCTGCACCCGCTGCAACGTACAGCGGAACAAAATGCTCAGCAGAGGGGTGCGCCTGCGCGAAGCCACCGTGCTTCATGAGGTCAAATAGCGACTGTTTCCTTTCGTCAAGCTGTCAAGGATAAGAAATAAGCAATTTTGATAAGAGATGACTATGCAGTACAAACATGGGACTTGGATGCAGCCACCGTTATTGCCTGATCGAACATCGTCACGTTGGGTGACGCTGACTTCTCTGAAAATTGTTTTCGATCATGAAGATTGTGGACAGTCAGACCACCTGCTAAGATGAGAATCCCCTCTTCTCTATGAGTACGAGACGTCAGAGATGTCGGCTCTTAGAAGGTGCGAACGTAAAGAGTAGACCCAGATACGAACCTGAGTTTTGATAAGGCCTTTCCAACCGCCCAGTTCTGTTCTGGATCGCCAGACCTTTCGATGGATACTTGAACGATAGGCACATCGTCGACCTTGTCCCCAAACATAAGCTTGAAAGGGACAAAGACTCCATGGTCGAATCCCGGGCCTTGACGTGGCGGAGAAGTCCGGCCATCCCATCCGCGGTTCTCGCGAACGCCGGAGAATCTGGCTTCTTCGCCTGCCTAAAGACATTTCAGACTTGGTATGAAGAAAGTGAATAAATCTCTGTTGAGACCTCTTTGTACAACAGGACGACACGCTCAGCCAAAGCGCGGTTTCCTTTGGATTCGAATGTTTGTTGATAATAATAAGGCTCAAACCCGAAGTAGTCCATGAGTAAAGGGTTCCTATCTCCGTAATCCGTCACTGCCGGACCCGATATCAGCTAATGGTTCCCTAGGAGCACATTGGAATCCTTACCGTGACGTACCCCTATCGTTTCCCAATGAGCGCTGAATACGACAATGCCCTTCGGCTTGTACTTGGCCTTCAAAGCGGGGCCGAAATCACGCAAAAACTTTGCGAGATCGCCCTCCGGCCCCATGGCGCTTGGCATGGGTGAGTTTGTGACCTGCTCCCTGGCAATGAGCATCGGGGACCCATGCCCAAAGAAGAAAGCAGGGATTTTCTCTGGACTAGAAGGGAGTGCATCTAACGCAGTTCGCCATTCGTTTTGTGTCTTCGGAAAGGACATTTATAGTGCTGAAGTTAAAGAGAAGGAATAACGTCGTCCCCAACGTTATAACTTGAACAACCCTATCAGATGCTATCCCTCCAATTTCATTTGATGCTGCCAGTGCCAAAATTGAAAGCGATTTCCCAAGTAACCTTGCGCTGATTAAGATTGTCACATATTGCAATCAGGTGATTGGTAGCGTGGCCGAGTTGGTCTAAGGCGTTGGATTTAAGAACTGATCTGAATCCCAATGGGCGAAAGTCCGCGCGAGTTCGAACCTCGCCGCTACCAAGAAGCTTTTTGATTTGATATTTTTTTGATCCTTGCTCATAGAAAAACACAATGATGCGCATGCCTTCACAATAAAAATAAAGTATCAACGGTATGCTAGTAGTGATGGCTACAGGTTGTTGGACAACAAAACAACTTTGGTACTTCTCGGTTTTGCCCCAGTATCTCCATACAAAATTCACCTTCAGAAAAGCTACCAGGAAATCAACACACAAGTCGAACCGAATTGTGCCGCATACTTACCCCTTCGATATTGTCTTCTCCTCCTGGACGTTGTCGCACCCTATAGCTGGGATAAGTGGAGAGGAGACAGCGAAGTAAATGTCACGTGCTTGCGAGTGGGAATAAATTGAGCCTGGGGTGGTTCACTACCGAATAAATTGCCAATAGAGTCATGACCACCCGGCTGCGTTCTTACGCGTCTAGTTAACCGCATTAGTTCGCATCACAAGACTGCTGAGGTTGTAATACCTCGTGGGCTTGAAGTCATCCGGGCTGCCCGGAGAACTAGTTTGAATAGGCTGAATGCTTTATGTTAAAATTGGAAAGTGGAGCATCTGAATGTCACTGCACCTGTGTCGCGGTTGGCGGCGGTGGCGCAGTGGATAATGCATCGTCTGTGAATTCTTCCGCAAGAAGTCTGTTGCTTTCTGATGAGGAGATTGTGGGACTCGTGGCCGTCTCTGTTTACTCCGACTTGTCAAAGACCAATAACCAGGTCACAAATTCCAGAATCACCAGGTGGCTCCTCTTCGGTGCTCGTTAGCTTGCCAAATTTGGCGTATCCTATGGATCAAATGAGCACTTCTCATTAAGAGAGACGTTCTCGATTATTCACGAGGCAGCTTCTGAATATTGCTAAAGCCAGGATCAACAGTGGTCCCTGTGTACCTGGATAGATCCTGAGCCTCGCAGGTATCAGGAAGACGTTTGACAGGCCACTTACTTGAGGAACTCGACCAGGCTGCGCTTGGTGAAGACAATGCTTGTGTCATCCCAGTCAAGCATCCCTATGATGGAATGTTGGGCGCATTTCACGACGAGCCATGAATGAACATACCGAGGTTCATCGACCAGTCCTTCTCCTTAGACATATCGACAGCTTGCGAAGGGGTAAACCTGTATGAAATCATGCAGCATGTTAAGGCATAGCCGTTATAAAAACACGTACTTCGAGGTCATCTCGATCGCGCAGATATAACGATATTAAAGTCTTTATAGGTTTGTGAACGATGGTCAGCTTGAAAGACGCGTTTACTTGAAAATACGGTTGTTCCCTTTTCTGGCCATTCCAACCGTGGAAAGTAACAATCTAAGTGCTGCCGTCAAAGTCACCACCAGCCTGCTCAGCTGCACGAATTGGCATGCGGAAGCTACAAATGTTGGCGGGGCGTTGTTTCCAGGCTGCGAATGCTCTACGGCCCTTGAGAAGAACCATCACATGCAGAGCATCCAATTTTTACACGGACCCCTCCAAGAACCAGGAGCCTGGGGTTTCTACATCCCCTGACATTCCCCCAGAGCAGCGGGAAATTCTGGACAAAGCGCTGCGCGTGGATCAGGCTGGTGAAATTGCGGCTAATTGGATTTATCGAGGACAATTCGCCGTCCTTGGCCGCGACCCACGAGTTGGGCCCTTGATTCAGGTGAGCTCAAACAACAATTCAACCATGCTCAATCAACTCATTCCGGCGGAAGGAAATGTGGGACCAAGAAAAACTGCATTTAGAAGTGATGGATAAATTACAACTACAACATGAGGTACGACCAACATTGTTGTCCGACGTCGCCAAGGCTGCTGGCTATGCACTCGGGGCGGCGACGGCCCTTATGGGCAAAGAAGCAGCCATGGCTTGCACAGAGGCAGTGGAGACTGTCATAGGGGAGCACTACGATGAGTCTGTCCTTGTTTTTAGCTGTTATATCCGCAAATCTTACGCTCCAGTAAATTCAGCCAACTGAAAGACTTTGAGTTGTTGCCATCATCCCATCCAAGCATCCCACTTCTGAGGGACGTTATCAAAGAATTTAGAGATGACGAGTTGGAGCACTTAGACACTGCTGTCGAGCATCACTCTCAGCGAGCTCCTGCGCATGCACTACTCAGCGCAGTTATCGGTAGTGGTTGCAAGGTGGCCATAGAGTTATGCAAGAGATTCTGAACTACGCAGACCTGATAAAATCCCGAAATAGAGACGTGAATTACGGTGGATGGGATATATCCACCTTACGGTAGTACCGCTCTGTCCAGAGAGTGCGATATATGGTCGAAAATCACGCCTGTGCCAATGCTTCTCCTTTTCGCTTGCCTGCCCAGTTCCATTTCAACTGCAATAATCATATCAATGAATCATGCTATATATGTAAAGGAGGCAACGTACGTGTGTTTTGCTTGCCAGGTAATAGATCGCTCCGGGCACAAGCACGAACCCGCACATCGTAACCCACGTTGTCCGTGGAGTAAATCTGAAATGCTTATACGCATCTTCACGCTAGAAACAGAGGAAACTTCAGAAAGACAGAGGCACGCGGTTGAACCCGACTGACCATACGGTTCCATCTTTCAATTGCGGGATCAACCTGGAGGACGTTAGAGAATGGGGCTTGAGTTCAAGAATACGTCCAAACCTTCAAAAAGCCTTGATTCGTTCAGATGTTGTCAGTATATCTTCCAGCATTGTTAAATTATGAACTGCTCACTGGGTACTGCCATGGTCGTACTGTTGAAGGAGTGGTGTTGTTGTAGTTTGTTTGGCCGCGCTTATTGGCAGTGTTTCTGTCCGCTGCGTGGTTCCTCGTGAATATCTTTTGCTTCTTGACTTTCATCATCTTTCAAGAGCATTTGTGTTAACTCTTTTTATTCCATGGCCTATAACCGTGACTGGGATAAAGGAAAGGACAACTGGGGCGACAGTGGGGCATGGGCTACTGACAGAGGAGGTAGAGGAAGGGATGATGACTACGGGGATGGGAAGCGTAGGAAATTTAACAATGGCGTGCGTGGTCCTTCTGTCAAACTTATTCCTTTTCTCATCCGCGCTCATTAGGGATATGACGCGAGCCACGCCTACGAAGAACCCAGCTACGAGACCTCCTACAATCAACAGTCTCAGGGCAGACCACAGGACTTTGCACACGATCATTCTCACGACGACAGGTACCAGAAGGGCTTTCAAGGAAAAAAGCGTCTGGTCCCTAGTGAACCCAGTCCCCATGTCATCTTCCTGGGACTGGATCCTGACTTTTCTGAGGCGGATGTTTGTCGACGCGCTTTACATATCTTCGAGTACCGAGCTGAATCTATGCTATACTTTAGCTGCAGGCATACCTGTCCAACAATGGATGCAACATTGAAACGGTCACCATTATAAGAGACAGATCAACAGGCACTTGCCCATTCGTATTCATATTCGTGCCGTGCATTGACGTTTGTGGCCATTGAATTTTTGAAGGTATCTCAAAGGGCTTCGGCTTTGCCCAGTTCGCGAGTGTTGAACATGCCCGTGCATTTGTGGATCCCATTTTCCCGTTTATTCAAGTGCCTCCACCCGCTTCACACGGCGCTTCAGCGACAGCAACATTCTATAAGGCCCTTGAGACCGGCATTCCCCACAATGGTCGACGGGTCAAGATCGACTACTCGCAAAGTGCTTTGCCTGACAAAGCTCGTGGTCGCCAGAACATGAACGATGGCACGCGTGACATTGGCAATACCCAAGGACCAGTGCTACTCTTCCGTGGTCTAGATCCGCTGTCGGGGCCGCAAGCGATTGCTCAGGCTATGATGAATTCAGCAGGCCCCGGGAAAAACGGAGCTAAAGGCATGAAACGAATTATCCTCATTAAAGATAGGGTCACATTGGCCAGCTTCGGTTTTGCATTTGTTGAATTTGTCGACAATCAGGTAACGGGACAAGGAGTGATACAACATTAGTTTCTGATCCTGGTTTCTTCTACAGTCTGCAGCTTCAGTACTGGCCACTAGCATGTCTCCTCAGATTCACCCTTCAGGTTTTCGAATCTCCGACAAGCCGGTCGCCGCTTCGTTTGCTCATCAATATTCATTCCAACCAGTTGATCATATGCTGCGCGACGAAACTGCGATTCCGTCGTCCATCAACCTGGGTGGAGTTGAAGGCGCATTTGTAAAGTATTGGGATGACTCTGCCATGGTTGCTGTTTTGGAGTTCAAGGTGGAAGAACCCGCACAACCCCAGGTCCAACCATCAACAGGACCCGTCAAAGAGAAGAAAGAAAAGAAGAAGAAAGGTATGCCAGCGAAATCCTTTCTCTCTCACTAATTGACTGGGGAAATAGATGATACCTTGCAAAAACCTCCTGCGCCTTCAGTATTGCCCGTCTCGGACAAACCTGTCACGCTCAATTTCAACAAAGGTGCCCTTGGAAGTAAGCTTAATGTATCGGCTGCGAAGGCTCCGGGGCAACTGTCACTGGGTTTTTCTGCCGATGACTTCGCCGATGACGAAGATGACGCTGAGCCAACAACCTCCACAGAAGATAATAAAGGTTCTTCCATATGTTCTCTGCAATTGTTTGAGTATGAGAATTGACATGTGGCAGTGACGGCGTCAAAGATGGTCGCTCCGCTCATCACAAGCAAGAAGGTTCGTTTGTTCGCGCATAATTTGTCAGGGAAATGATTTTCGGTCTTCGTATCAGACCGTCAGCAATATCCAGAAATGGAATCAGGTTCAAGAAGAACTAAAGGATGGCCCGAATGCCCATGCACCGGTTTGCAGACTTGTTATAGCACGAGGAAAAGGCAGCTGATCATTCAGGTTTCACAGGCCAATCCCCCGGCTGTTGTGACGCAGACTGTGGTCTCAGCAGTACTATCCAGAGCACCTTCTCCGGAACCCATCGAAACCGAATTCGAGTTCTCTGATACCACTGCCATGACATGCTTGCTTTGCGCCCGACAGTTCAAGAGCCTTGATCAATTGAAGCGTCACAATAAGGAGTCCAGTCTCCACAAGGCGCGCCTCTTGTTAATACAATATTGTCAGAGTGGGCTGACGGTTTCTCTCGTTACAATCCATCCTTTCTATCATACAGAAGAATTTCAAGGACGCTAATCTGAGAGATGTCGCACGGGAAAAAGCTGTAGCTGCTCGTCGAATTGCGGACAAGGCTCCTGATCAGCCCAAATATCGTGATCGAGCGTCAGAACGACGTATTATGCATAACCAGCCTGACGTACCTTTACCCGACAATATTGTCAGTACAATCGGTAAGAAGAGACGACACATTGAAGGCCCGCCCCCGCCACCTTCACCCCCGCCAGTGGTCAATCCTGGACAGGATGAAGCAAATGTCGGTAACAAACTCTTGAAAATAATGGGTTGGAAGGAAGGTTCTGGGCTGGGCACCGATGGCGAAGGCAGGGTGGATCCAATGTATGAATTACTTATTTTATGGCTTGGCACTGCTGAAACGTGCGACTCCAGTCAAACAAACATTTATGCACAAGGGGTAGGCTTGGGCGCCAGCAAAGGCAGGGAGTTGGGGAAGTATACCGATGGTTATGCTGGTTATGTGCACATGGCACAGGATGCGGTGAGTGTAGTCGCTTCCGGCCAAAATCAAATATACGACACGGTGCCTTGGTACTCATCTAAACACCCTACAGGCGAGAGAAAGATTTGGAAGCTAGTGGCCGCGTTGCTCCAAGACGCATCTCAGCTTGGATATCCTGTCTTGCTCGTGCTAATTTATGATTCATATGATTCGTACACATCGAGTGATTAAGTGAAAGTAAAAGTAACTATAACGCTACAAGCCACAGAAATGGCGCAAGTAAGATAGTCAAGTAATTGCTTGATGACGAGAATGCGCCATTGTGCTGAGCTGTTGTACCGGTAGTTGATGTGGACGGACCACTAGACCCTGGAGCCAGAAGAGTAGATGTCACAACAGGAGATGTAGGAGAGGGCGTGAAAGTAGCCACCCCTTCCTCAACCGTGAAGTAGGTTCCCTCAATCAAATTATTAGTGACAGGAGATGATGTATTACTCGCAGAATGCATACGGCAATTAGAGGTCCAATGTTTGAGGCCTTATGAGCGTTCTGTTAATGAGATATCTACATGAGGAAACGACCACACCTTAACATAATCCGTGAGGTGGCAAAATCCTGGATCATTGTTTTTGATAGGGAACCCCTGCGGCGGAGAGACGGTTGGAAACTGCTGAGCGTAGAGTAAGATAGCATAACTACGGGGACTGTCAGAATCAGGTTTCCTTTTGAGAAAGAAGATAATAGTAACCGATGAGGTCCGCTCCCGGACGGTGGAGCTGGACCCCTGTACTGTTCTACCACCACACTTCCATGTGTTAATACAGAGTGGTCTGTACATACAATACGTTAACCTCGACAAAGCAGATGTAATTAGGAGCATATCCGTACCTTGTACAGTCACACCGTTGACAATCCAGTGACAAATCTGACCCCGCGGGTCAGTATATCCTGGAGCCCAGGCATCAACCATCACAAGAGTGTATTTTTCATGCAACAGGGTTGTCATATTGGCAGGCGTGACCGTAAGGTTTGGGGCAGTTCGCGTTCCTGGCACTGGGGATAAACAAAATCCGTGACGGCGAAGAGAATTCACTTACGAGACTTTGGAAGAAGTTGACCCGGGGTCACGATACCGCCACCAGTGTACGTTGCGGTCAGAAGCGCAGTGGGGGTGAAGTTTGCCAATAAGTATGGCACGAGACCAGCCCCCTGAAAGCGAGCGCGGATAATTTCTAATTCTAAAGTCGTGTTGTCGAACTGGGTTGCATGCACGAGGGGTGAGGTGAGAAGTAGCAGAGAGAAAACCATGCGTCTAGCGGAAGGTATCATGTTCGAAGGGTATCTTATATATGGAGTATGCGAAGTCGTAAAGAGAATGGTTCAGGACTTGGAATTCTGAAAGTTGAACTTCATCGGATTCAACATTGACAAACAAACAGTCCTTCAGTTAGGTGTGGCGAGCAAGACTATTAAATGCAAAGAGATACGATACAGATAAAGAAACATCTAACGAAGGCGGATGGGGGAATTATGGCACGTCCGAAAAATTCGAGTCCGCTGTTATGTCTGGGCTGGGTAGATCTGGTAAGCTTACTGTAGGAGACAGGGCAGATTGTGAGTCAGCACCACCAAGGTCAGTCCTTCTCCGCGTCCGCCGTCGTGGCGCAGAGGGGACAGTAGGTGACAACGTCCCGAAGCCATCGGCTTTGAGAGCAGCCAGCATATCTCGCGCGACGTCAACGGTAGTGTCAAGTGGAAGCACGAGAGGTCTAGTGTCCGGTTTCAGACGAGCCCTTCTTGCGCGACGTGTAACCGTGTCTCCATTGCGCAACTTCTCCAGTAGATTGTCCAGAACCGACTCATCTTCCTCTCGTATGCTAGCATCCTTGGCATTCTGGCGCAATTGCCTAGTCTCTGCCATAGCTTGCTTCCGTTTCTCAACCGCAGCTTTCTCCTCAGCAGCGGTTTGGTTCTCCATCTTACATTTCTGTAAAATGCTAGGTAACCACATCGCGCCAACGTGTCGGGGCCACTGACCTTGTAAGAAGTGACGAAGGTTTTGAAAACCGCAAAGAACTCCGGTGATGTAATGTTCTTTTCATCCTCACCATAATACTTGACCACTTCCGTGAAAGTGGTTTCCGCGTGATTTACATCATCGACGAGATATTCTAGCTTCGACGTTGCCTTTCCGACAAAGGTCCACATCTGGTTGCTGAACCCGTCATTTTGTGTTAAGTCGGTGTGATAGTCATTCAATTCTTGGCGAATACGTTTCAAACCATCGCGAAGTTCGGCGAGATCCTTTCGGATATCCTGAGTATTCACTGATGTGAATTATGTCAGTTAATCTAGGTTTGTTGTACAGTAGGAGCGAACCTCGGTAGGCCTCTGCGGGTTTGGCGAGCTCGTCTAAAAACTCTTCCATGCTTGGAAAATGTTTATGAATTGTCCGCTCAAGGAAGTGGAGTAGTGTGGTATTGTTGACAGATTTAGTGTCAACAAGCTGTAGTGAGATTAAGCCAAGTGGAGAGGACAAAAGAGAGGCATCTACCTTGTTAATACTGCTCACTCTGAAACCAAAGGCGCCTCCCTTAATCCCTGTGCCATTCATGTAGTTGCCAATCATGAGTATGAGCTGAAAAAATATTTTAGGCGAAAACAATACTTTTGAGCTCGGGACCTACATTCAGAACTTCCTTGAAGTGCTTGGCATGCAGTAAAGCATCTCCTGCTTCGCCTACCTTCCTTGCGCCCTATGTAATGGCGATGAATAGCTTAAAATGCCCAATGAATAACCACATACGTCATCCAGAAGCAGCCGCTGTTCCTCGAACTTGCACTTGTAAAGCATACCCTCTATGCGGGGACCAAGACGGTCAATCTGTATGAGTTTGACCATGAGACGGTCGGAAGGGTGTAATCCAGCCAGTTCCTCAGGCTCAGCGTTACGGTATACATTGAGTTTGCCAATCTAGACATGACTTAACCACTAAAGTCCAAGTATTTAGTGGGTATCGCACCTGTTCTGGGGTGGGAAGGACGCCTTTGAGTTCGCTCAAGAAGTTTTCGGAGCACATCTCCTGGTCGAATTGCTGTATGCGGCGTGCAATTTCCTCAGGTTCCATCCTCTTCACCCGCTGGATAAGTATCTCTGGAAGAGATTTAAATGGCATGTCTAAAATTTTCTGGCGCTCAAAGAACTCACCAACTCGTTTCTTCGTCTGCGGGTCAAGGACACTCTTCAACTCGGCTTGCCTCTGTCGAGCTTTCCGGCGGGAGAAGGGTGATGTCAACTAAAATGACGAAATAATAAAGAGAACACACCCATGAGGTTGATCATCAACTGCTTGGCTTTGAAGTCCTCCTCCATTTCCATCCACACCCCGTCAGATTGTAATTTAGCAAGCATTTCTTTCTCTTTCTCAGGTTCTTCGTCTTTCCAAAGTGTCTTGCCGACTTGTTGTTGCGGAAGCTTGTCCCACTGCAATTGCTTCATCTTGGCACTAGGCGTAAATGGCATATCTTTGCGAGCAGAAAGTAGGACATTGAGATTTGCACTGAGGAACATGGATGCTCGAGCTGAACTAGATGCAGAACTTGGGATAGAACTAGCACCCTTCAGGAAAGAGGGTGGCGGGGGCGGTGGTGGCGGGGGCGGAGCACTAGAAAAAGTTGGAAGAGGAGGAAGATATCCAGGGGGTGGGGGTGGTGGCGGCGGCGGAGGTGGTGGTGGTGGTGGTGGTGGCAGAGGAGGAGCTGATGGGATTGATTCATCATCTTTCGGTGGTACTGGCGGCGGTTGCGGTAGCGGAGGGGGCGGCGGAGGGGGTGGAGGTGTTGTAATGTCAGATTCCTCAGCGAGGGAGGCAAGCGGAGATGGCGTTGGACTACCCTCCGAAACAGGTAGTGTTCGACCCCGGGATTGCAGTTTTCTAGCAAGCTGTTCAGTGAAAGATACAGCAGTGGGTCCACGAGACGCTTCTGAAGAGCCGTCCGAGCTAACAGAGGTGGGTTGGGTATCATCGGTCAAAGCTGTGAATCCACTGCGTGTGGATTGATCGAATTCGCTCTCCGCATCATGCTCTTCGCGTAATGACGATTCGTAATCACTGTAATCAAGTGCGTTGTCGTACCGAGGCGCGAGAAGATTGTTGGCACGATGTGAACGGGATAGTGATGGTGTGTCATCGCCTAGTATCATACGGTTTGTACGCCTGGGTGAGCGATTAATACTCCGAGGACTAGCGACGGCACCATCTTCGGGCGATAACTGTACGATACCGATGAGCATTTACAAGAATTGTTAATGAAAAGATCATACAAATTTGGCATTCGCTACGAGTTGATGGCTAATTTGTGCCCGTTCATCCGCCTCGTCAGCATCCATGAATTGCGACTCATGGCCGTTAAGGATTCCAGATATCCGGGCAGCTTTAGAATGTTGCGATCGGCCTCTTGAACCATTAGCACCCCGTTGGACATCAGACTTCCGAGGAGTGGCGTCGTCATCCGATTGGTCGTTTTCACCACTCCCCTGCCTGTTATCTTGAGTTTTCTTGCCATGCCCCTCAAGGATGCTGATGGTTTTGGTTCGTTCGAGATGCTTGTTCAGGGTCTCTATTAGGGTCTTCCGATCCATAGTCCCAGAACTAGAGTCGAGGATTTTCTCGTAACCCTTGCCAACCTCCCTTATCATTCTGAACAGTTCCAAGATTTGAGCTTCCAGTTGAGCGATTTGTTCCTCATACCCAACTTTCTGCGTCTCAAGTTGTCCTTGGAGACGCTTCGTAGTTTCCCGGTGAGAACCAAGCTTCTGTTCGAGGAGAGCGACCTGTGCCTTGAGGTGACCAACAAGACCATCTGACCCTTGTGACATCTCCTCTTCAAGGGCCTCCTTCTCAAGCTTCAAACGCAGGGCCTGGGAACGAGCTTCGGCAGCCTCTTGAATGGCATCCTGATATCGTTCAGCATCATTTAACTGACCAATAATCCGTTGAACGGTGTGCCCAAGTCTCTTCTCAGCGGTGGCAAGTTTCCCGTCCATAACCACATCGGTGACGAGTGAGTCCAACAACTGATAGAGGCGCATCATATCAGGACCTTCCTCCCGAATGAGTAGTAGATGCCGCATCATAGAGAGGAAGTACTCCTTGGCACCTGTGCTCTCCGTTTTGTGACGAAGGGCATTCCAAATGTCTTCAGCGCTATTGAGGTCGCGAAGTATTTTCTGGTCATACCGCTCCCGCAGTCGTTGCTCGTCTTCTTCTAGTATGGCTTGCAGTTCTGCGAGCTGTGCTTCCATAGGCTCAGTACCAATCTCGTGACATAGAGCAATGATACGCTGAAGACCAGCAGAGTCCATTAACGACCGATGGTGCAACCGTACGTCCAAGTCTTCTATGGCGTCTATGATATGAACAATCACGAAAAGATTGGTTGACTAAAGACATATTAATATCCTAGCCAGAGCGCGAGTAAAACATACATACTGCATAATCTGCGAGGGAATTGTCATGTCCAGCGCCTTTGCGAACTTCCTCGCTAGCTCCGACCAGACTTCCCATCTTACCCCTGCCCAGCAGGGCGCTCTCAAGGGACCTGAACCAATAGTCATAATATCCGTGTGTCTCGCCGTTGGCACCACTAACGGCTTCTAAAGCTGGAAATACTAATGAAAGAGGGTCTGTACCGTTGTAGATGATAGATAGGAGAACTTCGCAAATCACTTTGCGATTTGGCAGATGAGGTGAATTGAGAGAAGACGCGATTTGAGTGACAACACCATTCAATTTTATAGCGTCGCGCACTCTGGACTAAAAGCACCCGCGAGGATCTGAGCCCAATGAACAATGACGAGCAAATGAAAAAGAAACATACGGCGCTGTTGAAGATAATCTTCAAACACTTGGCGATCTCACCCTCGAGGTGGGTGTCAGATGGGAGCCTATGAGAAGCTTTAGTCGGGTGGATTTGGGTTTCAAACAACGGTGCTACCTCTTGGCACCCTTACGACTTATGTGCATCAGCGCCTGCGCCAATACAGATGCGCCCTGCAGCTCAATGAAGCGTTCAAGCCAACTAAATAGACCAAGGTTATTAACAATTACAGCGCAAAGACTAACATCCCACCTCGTTTCATGACTCTTCAAAGATACCCAGACACTTGAGGCCTGTTTCGCAGTGATGGTATTGTCGAGGAACTTCCTGATATACCAGTCTGGTGTTCCCTCGCCAAGAGAGCCTGCTGCACTTGAATCACCCTGCTTCCGAGCCTGTTCCTCTCGAGTCTTTTCCTCCTGCCATCGTAATTGTTCTGCACCATATACCAACTGCCATTTCTGTTCAATGGTGAGGGTGTGCACCGTAGGGAGGTCGCGAGTCGCTGATACGTGTTCAAAGAGAACTTCAATCTCCTCGTCTCTTTCTGGCCGGGGAAAGACGAATTCCTCCTGGTTCGAATGAGGTTTATGGAAGAAATGCGATAGATGGCTGGAGTGAGTATCGGAACTCGAGAAGCGAGAAGTGCGCTCGGCTTCCGACGAAAAAGGCATAGAGGAGCCAGGTCGAAGAGAAGAGTGAGATGCGGCCGGTGAAGATGGGAGAGGAATTGAGCCAAAATCAGTACCATTTGGACTACGTCTGCCGGATGAACCAGATGCTTCACTTCTGCGAAGTTTATGGGTAGGAGTCTTGGGTCGCTTTCCGGTGGTGAACGAAGCCACAGAATCATTGTAAAGGGTGGAAGAGTCTGCTGCACTAACACTAGAATCAGGACGAGAAATGTTGGCCCGATCTCGTTCAAGTCTGCTGCGCTGGTAAGCAGTGAAGTGACTGTAATTCATCTCAGTCCCATTGTGAGTCAGAGTGGGGTTTGTGAGGGGAGCTGAAATAACCGGATTTGAAGGTGTACCCCGCAAACCTTGCGACACTGTTCCGACGGGCATTGGGACCAGAGAGGCAGGAGCAAGCTTGTCATAGGGAATAGAATGCTCGGAGAGATCACGACCTGTAACCGAGGACTGACGGGGCCGTCCTTTCTTCCTGCCAAAAACGATGTCCATTGTTAAGGATGTTGCCGCTGGGCTGAGCCCGTCGACTCTGCAGAGACGAGTGAAAGTGTGTCTAGGAATAAAAAATAATTAAGTAGATGAACGCGTCCGTGCTGTTGTTACTATGTACTTGCTACCACTGCTGAGCAGTACATTGCCAGCCACTTCCAAATAAAGGTCAACAACACAGATTCTGAATCAGACCAAGGCCCCTATCAAATGCTACTACTTATTCGCTCGTCTTAGTACTGACAATGAACAATTCACTTTTGCAGCGTTACAAGAATCGTTACTCGTCTTGCATCCTTTCCTTTTACGCACAATCATTGACTTTGACGTCCATCGCATTATTCTCATTATCACCAGTCTTGCCGGTGAGAACGATCTGTCAGACTGCTGTTCATCTATGTCTGTGTCTGTCTCATTCAGCCTCGGTAAGCACCCGCGCATCAGACATATGAAACACATGTTCACAAACCTCAAGGTACCGTTGTCATGATCATTTTCGTCTTTATGGCCATGGTCACCGTCCTCGGCATACTCTTGCTTGTCATCGTGCGTGTCCGTCGCCACAACGATCGCTACGCCTGCCGCTCGTTGTTCTCGAGATTTCCTCGGAGAAAGGAGAGTTCGGACGACGACTTGACTGTCTCTATCTCCCCTTCCTGTCCGACGGTTGTTGGTCTTTCTTCTACCAAAGGCTTTCCTATGATGCACATGACTATCACCCCACCCACCCCAGCGCAAGCTCCCCCATGGCCACACAAGAGAGATTCCTACGAGAAGGATGAAGTTCGCCAGTTGTCTCGCAACAGCCACAGCGAAGGCATGGTGGCGTATGGGTACGCTATATGATGACCATTGCCCCTAAGCGTCTTCGTAGAATAGGCTCATAGTTCCTCAGTTTGAGTGTTACAAGTTTACGGGCATCTGTATCAACGGACAAATTGTGGTATAATCTGATGGTACACCCAGAATATCACGGTGCGGTGAACGCCGTAGATGTAAACAGACAAAAAAACAACCGTCACGAAGACGGGAGTATGCAAAAAATTGTTGGACTTCATGGGTCACAAGGTCATCACCCTTCGCCACTTGTCCTCACTGCCGCCAACCCACAGTGCCCATAAAGGACTAGGCTCGTCCACTTTCGAAGCAAAAAGCTTTCCCCACCCGGACCAATCCCAACCGTCGCGCACCGCGCCGGGAGGGTGGCACACGTACTTTCACCTAGCCACTCATTGGACTATCCTTGTCGTTCGCACAACTCGGACCATCCATCCACACTCGCACACCGCCCTATCACCGTCTCCACGACGTGCGTCACGGAAGTCGCATCCGGTCCAGAAAGTCGTTGACCACTCAGCCGTCGCTCGAGATCCGGAACACACTCCTAGCAACTTCCCAACCGCCTTCTTGCTCGTACGCCAATCGCAGTAAACCAAGACAACCACAACTCCCATGAGCCCTTCACCCGTCATCAACATGACCCTTCTAGATCTACCTGTCTTGTGCGTGATTCTGTCATCTGGGAGAGGAACATGCACACCACGAAGCCATCCCATCACCACTGAATTCGAGAATAAGTCTCTATCGCCCCTCCCGAAGGAAGAGTGATGCAGCGGAATGACAGTAGACTTGAGGTGTGAGAGCCGAACCCATGGTTAAAGACAAAAGAAGACAGGATCGAACCAGTTGAACCTGCGAATAGGGATCCCAAGTAACTCGTGGGGCGGGGTCGAACATGGGTACGAGGAACAGACCGGTGAATTGAAGGATGGTTGAAAAAGCAGAAGTACATTCGACAGATCAGGTCTTCGCGATGATCCCGCCGACGTACGTCAGCTTCGAGCGAATGCCCTTGAACATAATCTGAACCTTCAGAATGACAACGGTCAGTAGCATCGCAAATATGGTCACAGAACGTGTTAAAGTGTGGAACAAGCTAATCGTACGCGGCAACTCCGCAGTATGTCTCTGACACGTAGGGTAGGGGAGCCCAGGCTGCAGGGACGACAGCAAAGTTGCACCCATAACGCACTAGCCGAAACAGTCTTTAGTATCCCTTTCCTGTACGTACCGTACTCGCGACCAAGTGCATTCCAGACCAGGTTCCATGTCGCAAATCACCGCGAAGCCAGGCTGTTTGCTGCGCACACCAGCGCTCTGAAGCTATGCACATTTTCTTGTTCCAAAGGAAGCAGAGAAAACAACATGGCTCACGGCGAGCAAATCATAAGACGCCGGGGGTGAGGAGCGGGTGATCCCAGTGAGACCACCCACAACTCGAGGAAAGAGTCAAAGACTCGGACTACGGGAATCATGTGCGTTGACCTGCTGAAGAATATGAACCACGAGAGGTAAGGGCAAAGACGCAAGACAAGATAACTGATCTTCCAAAAGCGGCCCTGGGTAAATTGATCTCTACAGAAATCTGCGCGTGACCCAGGATGCACGCCACTGGCAGTTAACCACAGAATGCGAACCTGTGCGTGATCCGCTCCTTCTCTTGATAGTCACCAAATAAAATCCCGCGACACCTCTCTAGCACTCGTTCCGTGGTTCAACCTCTGCCCACAACATGAACCGAAGCATTTCCGGCACCGCCTTCCCTTTAATCGCAGCCGTGTCGGACATACGAAAGTGATTAGCTTTCTGTGCGTAATGTTCAGACACGTCCACAAAGGATTCCCGAGGCAACACATGCGAAGGTCTGTGCGTATGCATGAGTGGAGGTGATTCCGTGATCGGTTACAAGCGCATTCCGAAGAGGCGATGAAGGTGGCTTCAAAAGAGTTCATCGCAGAAGAAAACAGCAGCAAACGGGCAGACGCCCGAGGCGCACATGGAAAACCACCGTCATAACGCGGCCCAACCCCAGAACAATGCCGCGTTGTTTGTGATCCATGCAAGTAGAAGATATTCTCCCCGTAAGCGAAAATCATTAGGGTTAGAATTCATCCCGTTGGGATGGATGTTGTGGCTGGAAGCAGCGATGAGCTCGATGGTGGCCTGGATAGCATCTTGGTGCGAGTGGTCTCCCGAAGTGGCCAGGGTGATTGGAAAGTGGACAGCAGACGCTAGACATAGTAGAGCTTGGTACAGAGAATAGAAAGAGACGTGTCACCTGAATTTATTGACATCGTGTTGTTTGGTCGAATAACAACGCGCAAACTGCGTGACGTCACAATAAAATAATTCCCCTTCGTCTTCATTACATTTAAATGTATGATGATACACAATAACTCTAGCTACCATTACCCGTAAAATTCCATCTATGCTACATGACAAGGCCTTTGAATGAGATATCCTTTCTACTCACGTCCCACTGTACTAAACCATCCTTCACCGGGCGTTCCAGGTCCTTCATCGGCATCGTAAACACTCGTTTCTGGCCAGGCATGGGTCAACCACGCCGATGTACCGAATAGCTGGCGGCACAACTCCAATAAACTTTCTATGGTATCAACCATATCCCTCATGACCTCACCTTCCGCAACTGAGTATGCCAAAGAGATGCCCTTAACCGACACATCCACGTCGATACCCCTTCGCAAGGAAGCTTCTATTTGTGATTCAAGTTTTTCAAGTGCTTGTCTCGCAGATGGGAGGAACTGTGGTAGAGGTTGTCGAGCTTGAAAGACATGCTGGCTCGCAAACAGCGAGATGCAGATACAGGATATCTGACAAGGGCATCTGATACGGTTCAGCAGTCGAATTTATCGGTACTCACAAATTCCTTCCGTTCTTTCAGGACTGATGCAATAGTCTCCTTGCGGGGTATATTTTCCCTTATCTTTCTAAGACCAGTCATCAAGTCAAGAATCTTTTGTATGTTGAGGACCACCTCGCGGTAGTGGCGCATTGGTTTCTGTGAATGAGTTAGTTGTGGAATTTGAACTAAGTATTCAAGCCCACCGGCACTAGACTGAGTTCGTCATTCATAGTAGTCAGCAGCGACGAAGATCGATGAAGCGCATTGCGAATTTGAAGTTCTGACTTCAATGTCTCTTGCTTGTCGTGTGGCGTGAATACGTATATATTCCGAAACATCCCCCTGCAAGTGGTTTAGTGGAGCACATCATAAACGGAAGGATAACGTACTGTACGAGGAGAAGATATAACTGGCTGAGCAATCTCAATGTCCTGCTGGTCTGATTCAGAAACAACACCTTCTGGATATTAGCAAATGAGGTCGAGCATGAATAACATCGCCATACCCGGCTGTACCGAGGAAAGACAAAACTATTCATTGCCAACGCAGTGATGATGCCCAACGCAATCATTGAAGCCCTCATCCAAGCTAAGTCTGCGCAATCGTAAGATATATTCATGTCAGGTCCACAAGTGGAAATCGATACCTTGGGTAGACACTCCCGAATCCGGAGTTAGGTATTGGTATAGCACGATAGGAGGAAGCGTAACGGACCTGGATAACGATCAGCATCATGCACAGCAGGTAAAATGGAGACATTACGCGACGACACCCAAGGACGGGATCCTGCTTTTTGTGACAAGCCACGTAACGGGTATATCAAACAACTGACAGCGTTGGTCAGAAGATGCAGGGTGCTGTCAATTTATCGGAACTACTTACTGTGACCATTACCACTATACCAATAGAATTCCTTCCGCAGATAGCCCATGTCTAAGTAAATGTGATCAGCGCGTGAAAATGATGGTATCGCAGGAGTCAGGACGCACGATATAAGCATATATAGCTCCTAGAATGGTCCCTGACTATCAAATACATCAACACGCCGTCGCAATTTTTGATCAAACAGGATTTACGAGACGCAAATAACCGACGCGCCAGGTCGCTCCAGTATTTGTTTCAAGGACCCATACGTAGCTGATGATCATCCATTGGCCGTGAATCCACTTAAACCACTGGAAACCTAACATTGAATTTATGACGATTCACACTTGACTGGGGACACGAAAATAAACGAACCTGCTGAGTTGGAAGGAAGAAAAGCCGGAAAACTTAGCATGGCCACCCCAATGGCATTTTTCGTTGCATGCTGTAAATGACTGGAATGTTGCGTGTTGCGGATTACCTTTGATGCTCCTAGTCGAAGCTGAAGTATGACGGGATGGTTCCAAAGGTGTTGTGGTGTCGACAGCAAGTATCGTGGGAGGGACTTTAATGATAACTGGTGACCAGTGGGAATTCTTCTGATGGCATGGGAATAGGGAACCTCTTGACTTGTTACCTCATCCTGTCGATCGACAAAAGCAATGCCTTGTCGGACTTCCTCAGCTGATAGAGTTGTCTCTGCTTCGAAAGCATCATGGGCTATAGGTACACCGTATTCCTCCATTATGAAAGTTCGTGGCGCAACGCCAAGCCACTGCCATGTCAATCGCGGAAGCCAGAAGCGAAGTCGAGAAGCTTCGTGGTGCGCAGCAATGCTCTGAGATACTTGCAGTATGTGGCTCGTGTCGTACGCCATCTAACTTCGTTGGCGTATTCAGCTCAAATAATCCTCGGATAAGATCACTTGCCTGTAGCAATGACGTCACAAACAGGCACTGATGATGGAGATAGGAAGGAATGATGGAATCAGATGGGGAACCCGGTTCTTCGCTCAATGTTCGAATAGTGTTATGTAACTCGCTTTTTGCAGTGTACCATGCGAGATTGAGATTGATGGCAGCCGCAGTAACTGCATCTATCTCTGTACGCAATGACTTGCGCCATAGTGAGGCATGCGTATACACGCCGAGCACCAGATCTTCGACTGCTTTGATTGAGATCATGATGGTTTTACCGAGCTCTATCGCTGAAGCTTCGAAGGAGGGAGATGATGCACAATACGATTCGTTGGGCCAATCGGTTTGACCTGGCCGGGGAACCATTCCCCAGGATAATTCACGCCGCAAGTGTTCAACCATGCCCAGCAGAGGCTTAAGGGACTTGACTGGTATGGTATATTAATATGTGGAAAATGAGTATATGAACAGGATGCTCACCGCTAACGCGCCCAATACGGAGTTCAAAAGCTGCTTGATAGTACATCTCATTCAGTGTCACAGACCGGTGGACCAATTCTACATGTAAATCTTTCAAGTCAGTAATTTGCTGGGAAGAAGGATACGTGAATGGATTGTCCGTGCACACGGATAAGCATCGGTGGATAATTCTCAATGTCGACGCGACTTCTTCAGTAAGGTGAGTCGAGGACCAATGTAAGATCAGCATGCTAGAAAACAAGCAAACAGACGCGGCTGTCACGGTGATCCATAAAAATCCGCCCGAGTCCGAGAGGACAACCTGCGTGATTGTCAGACTACGTGTAGAGGGAAGGACACAGCAACATACAGAGGTTGTACCAATATTGTCAGTCAACAGCCATATGGACACAAAGCACGATATCCGCGCGGATAAATGGAGACGAGGAAGACGGCTTTTCGCCCAACCAGCTTTCAGAATAGCT